ACAGTAGCCTCGATATGTGTCACATTGCATTTAATTCGGCATGCTAAAACATTAAAGGTTACTGAAAGTAACATCTAACGGCATATCAAACTTGAATATTACAAAATTCAGGGCCCAGAATTAAAATTGAGACTTCCGAATACTTTAATCCAAAAATAAGAAGACAATTAAAGTCTTTTGGAAAGACTCCGACAAACCAAATTCTGATCTTCACGAAATTTAGCTTTTTGCAATAACATGATTATTTTAAAAATAATTGATGTATTGACCAATTCTTTCCAAAAATTGTATCAAGTTCATTTTAAGAAAATAACAATTCAAGTTAAAAGAAAAAAAAATCCAGTTATACTTTTCCGAATTATTAATGTGCCTGGTTGTCGTATTATTAAAAAAGAAAAACTAAAAATTTAACAAACACAGAATGATACTGAAAAAACCCTAAAAAGAAGCAAACATATTTTAGTTTTACTTACCCGCGTTAAAACGGCCAGCGCACAGAATAATAAATATACTAATTTGGTCATTTTGACGAAACAAATCCTTTCTTACTACTTTCCAAGGATGAGATAAAATCCTTTTTTTTAGATTTTCTTCTTAAATTATACTTGTCGATACACAATATTTCGTTTATATTATAATATCAGTCTTAATTTTTAATCTACCAGTTTGAAATGGTCGACTGTTTCTATCTTTAAAGTAAAAGAGTTTTCCGCTGTGTTTATCGTAAGTGTTAGGAATCGACTGAAGTGGTGTAACTATTGAGTGTATTGAAGGATTGAATGCCGTGTAGATGTCGCCCCAGTGTCAACAAACAAAACGTGACATTGGTTCGTCTTTGACCCTTCCCCGCTTTTTCTTGACGAAAAAGTTACATTGGTAGATTGAGTTAGTCGTTACACCTTCTGATTCATTAATTAGTTAACAAGAGACCAACCTACTCAGATACTTTGTAACCAACAGACAACCAAATTTCGTAACGAATTTTACGAAGCTCTTATAGGTCTTTATGTTCTGTACCTCAATGAAGGCTAAGTTCAGGAAAGCCAAGGGAAAGCAATCCAAAGGACTTAGGTTTGAATTCTTATTTCTACAAGAACATGACAACTAATTACTGTTTCTCTCTTTGGCTCTGACCTTTTCTATTCTTACTTATCCATGTTCGAGAGAACCAAAGATTTACTTAATTTAAAGTAGTAACATAACTAATTTTTGTACCTCAGAAACTGTACCCCACAACCCGCATTTAAACCCTTGGATTCCCAAATTTGTGACCCAAAACAGTGATCCGGCCTTATCACCAACCAACCTACACTTACGTCCCCCAAAACAACTACTACACTCCCACTATATAGGGATTAATAGATATATCAAGAACTACCTTTATCATACATATTTGTCTTTTGTTCAAAGCTAAATCTTTACCTTCGTTGGCTATCAGTTTTTATGTGCAATGTAGAAAGAAGTCAAAAAGCATATTCATAACCACTAAACCTTAGAGCTGTCCAATTACCGACAAGATCTTTGACTATCCCTAAACATAATATTGTGTATTTACTAACACTAAAGATGCCTAAACATAAGTTGGTGCTGAGGTCCTGGAAAGACTTTATTCATACTCAGTATATATACTAATACTTATTATTGTACTTCATAGCATCGTCCTCTTGGATTGATGCCATAGGTTACGAGTTCAGATGGATATTATACTCATTTTGAAGTAAGTGTTATGGGAAAGCTGATTGGCTAGCCAAAATACAATTGATTCCAATTGACAATTTTTCTTATATATGTATGTCAATCTAAAAAATCTAAAATTCGGATTCAGATTAAAAACATCTGTTAACATGTTTGTCCCCACCCATCACGATTAATTAGTAATTGGGTGTCAATCTTTACCATATCTGGTCGCTATAAAGGTAAAGAAGCTGACCTATGATCTAATTTCCCTGCAAACTCTAGTGGGCAGGTTGGTTATATGCTAGACGTGAGATTACAGTACAGGGCCCAGTTCGTTCACATCTACCTGGTAATTGTAGAGTCAATAAGATTAAATTGGGAAGAAAGAAAAGAAAATAATAGAGGGATTAGTGAGTATTGTGTGAGTTTACTGTGGTCTACAAATTCCCGTTACGGTCGTCTTCAAAGGCGTGTACTTATCATTTAAACATTTGTCCAGTTTTTTGTCGTGTTGATCAGTCACTAATCCCTTTCTATCGCTGTATCACAAAGCAAATATAACAAATGCATACTCAACCACAAAGGAGCGGCGAGCTGTGCGAAATGCATGTGCACTCTTCTTTTGATATGTATTCCACCATCAGTTGACTGCAATTCGACTTTCATTCGGTGTTGTTCAAGTATAAGGGAAGTGTTTTTTTTTTGGACCTAGGTATAGGTGGTACAGTTTGGCTCGGCAATTTCTATTTCTAAATATTGTAGCCCTATTTGTCACATTATCGTAAATGCACTTCAGTTGCAGATATGAAATTTAATAATCATCTTTTTAAATATTTATCTTTACTCGTGTTAACCCAAAAACTGACAAAACGTTATATAACACACTGTCAGTTTTAATAAGAAGATTGGTAAAAAGATGAATATCGAAATCGATTCCTATCGATCGATGAAAACAAAAAAGGCTGTAAAACTTCACACTAGAATACTGTACTTAGAGATTTGACGTCCAAAATTTTGATCTGGGGCGAGAAATTTCTACATTTAAAAGTCACAGAATGGCAAATTTCTGAAAATCCTCGATTTCGTCCGAATCAATAGAACTTATTTGCGTTTGGGGATAAAAAATCGATTGTGATAGCCGGTAAAAAATGAAGTTGAACTGTTTGATATTTGTTCAACAAAAGTAGAGAACAATGACGAACAATGGTAAAATCTTTGTAAAATAGGATTTGGACTGTTGATGCGAAGATTATCAAAATTACAAGATTTGGTGTTGATCTTGTATAAATACGACAATAAACAGTTAAAAACTACATATTAAGCCGGTGATAATGATGGAACCCTGGTGTTAAAACTGTGGTAGACTGTTACAAACAATGAAATATCAACAACCGATCGTTGGTCAATTTGGATATGTTTCCTTAACAGATGTAACGATTAGATAAGATTTTCTGAGACTCGGTAATGCTCACATTGTTGTAGACTTTTGTCTCAAAAAATGGCACTTCAACTTCGACAACAAGACCAAAGGCAATGGATCCAACCAATCTTCCATGTGAGCATGTTACCATAGATCAATTTGCCTACAACTGATTAATCGTTTTACTGTGACTAAATTTCCCGTAGTTAAGTTTCTGAACTTCCAAATAAAATATCAAAGAACACAAAATATTAATTTACATTAATTCAAAATAGAATTTACATGTAATAAGTGAGAAAGTTACTTCAGACTTCTAGAACATAACATGCATCATTAGGAGTTCAACCTGATCCGGAAACAATGTTAATATATCTTCCTCCTACGTAAACCAAACAACTGTCTTCTTTCCCACAAATTATCAGTCTTGTCCACAATGACCAAACACCACTGTTTTTGTATTTGGTTTACTCACTACAACCTATATCAACACAAAACAGGTACATGCTCATTCCTTTACTTTCAGTTTCTCTTTTCATGTATCATAATCTATTGACAAAGACCTTCACATGGAACTTCTGGTATTCCGTTTCTTCTGTACCAATCCCTCATTGTACCTCATTCTGACAACAAGCTTCAAAACCAAATCATGGCAATTTAAGGTAAACCTTTCGCGTATATTGTAGAGGTCAAATGACATCCTAATACACGCGGTCATGGAGTTGATATCGCCGCAGTCGGCTTCCATATTCAACAGATGTTGCACATATATGATATCGGCTTAATGTAAATTTAGAAATTGTATCATGTAACATGTTCACATGTACACATGTAAAACTATTATTTACTTTTTAGGGAGCAGGTTTCCCCTTGTCAGTGATGCCGGTAAGAGGGCGTGACATGGAAAAAGCATCTTGTCGTTCGGATGGGACATCCATGCTGTGCACGTTAAAGATCCCTCAACAGTTAGAAATTGCAAAAAAAGCTGGCTTATGCCACTGTCCTGGAAAATTGCATCCTGCATTGCGTTGCCTGTCTTCATTCTGCAATAAAAGTACAACGTAAAGCTCCATTCATTTAATTTCATTTTTTCCCTTTTGAAGCAAAAAGATAGTAAATAAAGGGAGATAACTCTTTTTCGTTAATAGCCCTCGCCGAGTATAAACGTTAAATTAATGTTAATCGGTTCACCAGAAAACAAAACCGATACAGGTTTTAGTTTATCTATTGAGCGTTTGTGGACGGTTGTCGCACGGGAAAATGTATTAACTGTTATGATGACCTGGCAGATAGCAATCAGAAACTTGGTAAGTTTTTACAATGAATTATGACAATGACATTGCATCTAGAATATTATACAATGTAATGAAATGAACGGATTTTTTTTTAGTGCACATAATAGTGTAATAATAATAGTAATGGTATCAGAAAAGCTTACTCTCTTTACGGTTTTTAAATCGTTTACGAATCTGTCAATCGCACAAAGTTCTCTTCATCTCCACCACTAGTCGCGGCCACTTCGATAAGGGACAGTGGAGAACCGGGTTGTGATGACTATGGTGTGATAAAATCAGATACAGGCTGTCGAAATGCAGCTGGCAAACCAAAATAATGTACATTGTGATTCACTTCAGATACATATTGGAAAATGCTGTAGCATTATTAGCTATGTGGAAGACATGTGGAAAGCAGTGTGGAATTGACAAATCCAGTGGACAGTATACTGCATACAATGAACGTTCTCGTTTGTCTGGAACAAAGGTCTGCGTTAATTTGTCGGACACTTATTTTTCCCTTTTGCTCCAGTCGAATATAAAAGAACATTTTTTACGGAATGCAATGATCTATAATCATTTTATTTAAATTTTATTCAATAATTTCTACGTTGAATTAATTAGATTTTAGATTAATCTAAAAGTTGAACATGTGTATCAGGTGATTGGGTATGGTACTCAGAGATACAACCTCGATAGAAGAAGAAAGAAGATCCATACAATGCGGACCAATCTTCCATGATCTGGTGTTCAGGAAGACCATTCACGCTCATTCTATCTACGTTTGATGTCCCATCTTCTACATACATAGATCGCATCTGAAGGAAGGGAAGATTCGACAGGTCTTCATTGGCAGTTTCAACTTCAACGTCTACATCAGTTTTATCTAAACCAACGTTCAATTTATATCTCCAGATATTACCATCAGAGTAGTGTACTCTCAGCTCAGAGGTTTCAGGTTCGATGGTGATCTGGTCTATTCGTGAGCTTACTCGTTCTGCATCGGGATCAAATCTACCAGATAACAGAAACGTACCAAACGGTATCCAATCAGTACCATGAGTCGTTGGTGGTAGGAGTCGAATGACGCCATCTTGATAAATAACGAAATTCTGAGAGTAGTCTCCCCATGCAACCCGATTGTAGACTCGAATATAATGGGCTGTATCTGTAATATTGGTTCCGTTGATGGTCACTTTCATTCCAGGATCTCCGAGCCACCACATATCATGCTTAACTTTCTCTACCACAAACTCGCCATCGTCATATATCTTCTCCCCTTGTTCTTTAGATAACTTCCGTCTGGTCAACTTGATGGACTTAATGTTCTGGCTTCCCTCACCACAAACCTTCACTTCAACTTTATTATTGGATTTATGCCACAGGTTTTTGGGGTAAGGAACTTCATAAGTGGTCTGTCCAGAATCCAAGCGTATGGTGTTGTCAATAATTACAGTGTCGCCTACCGACATCTTCACCTCCATGTCACCTTGCAATGTTTGATCAGGAAATTCCAATACCAAAGATCCGCTTATATCTGTGACGTTAATGTCATGAAGAACATGGCTAAAATGAAACGATACGCCGTACAGGAAGCAGCGTCCCGGACGTTCTTTAACTTCTAATGTGGCGTCTTCTTTTTGTACAATTAAACGTTTTATTTCGTCATATTTGAATTCCCATATGTTCTCCTCCAATTTAAAACAGTTGGTTTTGTCACCTTGACGAGCGTTCAACAGACTTCTGTATGCAGGATGCTGGGCAGTGATTCGAAACTTCTTCAATTTTTCTTGATAAAAATCCATAAAGACGTTCTTCTCTTCAGCACACTTACTTGGTTTGCTCTTTTGAACGACTTTGGCGCAAGGACTCTTCTCTGTTGGATGTGCATCATGTTGTGGTATTTCTGGTTGACAAAACACTTCACAATGAAGCTGAGCATCCGTTAGCATGTCATCATCTACATCAAGTTTTACAGCGTCCAGATCACTCTCCCCTCCCTCAGCTGAAATCATAAGAACATGGCGGCCTCTGGTCAAAAATGTACGTCTACCACCTGACGTATTGCCTTTTTCGGGACAAGGAACGTTTGCCCCTGGTATTTCATTTCCGTCTATTTGGAAATTCAAAATTCCACTCCCGTTCGTGGAAATTGGTGTCAAGTTTACTATACCATCTCTTCGTAAACAGAATGGAATCTTCACATGCTTAGATCCAGCGATTTTAACCGAACTACCATCATTGTCTTCAAATTCTTCAGCCTCCAGTTTAAATTCCACCCCGAAAACTCCTGGAGTAATTAATAATAAACTCAATATTGAGTATAACATTTTGACTATTGTTCTAGCTTCTCATTGTCAAATTCTAATAACTAATTCGCTTTAGTTAATCGGGTTTTATTATTCACATTCATCCCAGTGCTTTCCCCATTACCATTTCGTCCGTTGTTGAAAGATATACAGTTGTTAATTGGGTTATTTCCCTTTATTACTATTGTTCCATTGTTGATTGTTGAAGACTTTTCTCACAGAGGTCTTACTTATCAGACTCATAATCTTGCATCATTGATATACAATAAACCGAAGAAGTACATCTCGTCGCGTTTTTAACCATCAGAATATTAACATAATAAATAATTAAACGCAAAGTATACATTTTCAGTCGATCAGATACTTTTAAACTACACTTGTGAATTAAATATTTCGTATTGACTTGATTTAAAGATATAATTAATCATATTTTTAACAAGTGTTCATTTTCATATATCAGGATGCATGCTGCCTTTAAAGGGCAAATAAAAAATAAAACAATATATTCTACGATATGTTACATTAAGCAAATTTTCCAAAACGGATTCATTTAAAAATGTCAGGTATCCCAAGATTAATCATTATTTTGCTCATTATGTGACGTCACATAAAGGTTAGATAATTAGATGTAAAATAATATTTGTTAAAGGGACGTAATCAACAAGTCAATATACACAATCACTAAGTGTTATTTATTTGAAGTTTAGATTTATTGACAAGTGAATAACGCCTTTTGATAGGGGATGGGTATTGACTTATGTGTACTGATAATTTGTGTCCCTGCATGATGAATATGGCAAAATGCCCTTTTTTCTATTGCCAAATTGTATATGGATACTAAGTATGGAATATCTTAGTCTTGATAGTACAAACATCAGCTATATGCATAGTCTCCGCAAGCCTTCTAATGAATCCGCATTCCAACAGACGGAATTAATGATTGTGCGCACCCAAAAACTAACGTTTTTCATTGTTGTCAATAACCAAATGTAGAGCAATAAACACTGAAAATAACCAATCTGAAAGTTCATCGATATACGTATCCAATCCAAGTTAAGCGAAATCTAGCTTTATTACATTGACAATCCAAACTTAGACAAGGGCGATAACTCAAACCAAAGAGTTAAAATGGGGTTCATTCGTCATTAATAGACACAAGCAGCCAAGTTCCATAAAATCTCTCAACAAAATTATAATCTCTTTTTTGTTTTCAACCTAATGTAAACGGTCGGTCAGGAATTACAACTATCACTTTATAATGCGGGTGTATAAAAAATATTTGTGTTGGATTTGTTAGGCTCTCTTCTTCTTACTGTGGGATTATTGTAGATCTTAACATTAACAACTTACTAATTACAATTAATCTAAAGTTAAACGTAAAGGAACAATATTATTGTATAGTTGTCACAGTTGAAATTGTAGACGGGTCATATAGACAGAGTTAAATGATATGTTAACTCTCTGCAAGGGATGCCATGTTTGTATCTCCAGTTTGTTATCGGTTGATCCAGAAAGTTAAAATGCACATCATTGTATTATGTACCACTCATATTGCCTATGTTTTGAGGCGATGGATCCTTTTCTCAGTTGTTTTTTTCGTGCTCAAAATAAGGGTTCAAACAGTGAGCATCAAGTGACGATTGGTATCATCTGTTTACAGACATTTTGCGATGGTGACATTTTGATGTGTGAAAGGGGCATCTGTTCAATTTCTTTTAAAAATAGAACTAAACTCTTCAACCGAATAAGAGAACAGTAAAACATCAACAAAAGTGGACTTCTATTATTCATTATTCTGTCAACCACAGATATATTACTCTAGAAAGTGTTTTGTGGTAGAAACTAACCCAAACAGATAGAAGGAATGTATTTTAATTCGTGAAAATGATTATATTCATAACGTTGCCAAAACAAATAAGAATTAATATAACCCCAAGGTAAAGAGAAGTGCACTTATTTGTAAACAAAGGGTGTTTCTATGGCATTAACCAATACATATATGAATTATATAATTATTAATGAATTAAGGTAATTAATCCGCTACAATCAGCTTAATGATAATGCTATTGTCATTGATCGCAACTACTGTTGACTGTTTAACTGTTATTTAATCGTACAACCCACAGGACCTACGTTTGGTGAAAGGTATAAGAGTGTCTTCCATATCTGTACAAAGGTCGACGATATTCAAGATTTTTCATAGACCGACGTGTTTTTAAGTTTTCTCTACCGAATTGCTCAGACAACTACAGTACAATGGGAAATATTGTAACCAGTACCACAGCACAAAGCCACACAGGTCAGTTATTGTTGCATTTTTTTGAAACAAATACATGTGCCAAGACTACGTTAATGTTTCTCGAATCAGTAGAGTTCGAGTTGACGAGGCCAATCGTAGTATGCATGTAACTTATATGAATCCTGATATAACTATCCACTATTCAAATTGATTATTTCACGGACTGTTTGTCGTCTATTTTAGGTCAAAGAGAGCCTCTGCCACAATGGATCCAGAAAATACACATGATACAAGAGTATACGACTGATAAATTTGGTGCTATTTCTGATGGGATGTACGAAGCCAGTCCAAATACAGTTGTCAGAAGCCGAGCTGGTCAGTTCCACACGGATGGTGCTAGATGGGGTCGAGGATTTACCAGTGGAAAACACGTATTTACCATCGTCTTCCCTGAAGAGCTTCGCGGAACGGAAGCATCAGTTGGAGTAGGCATGGAATCGGCTTCCTTACACGAGAAAGGTCGAATAACTCTAGTCGGAGATAACAGATACTCTTGGGGTATTGATTTAAGAACGAGGAGAGCAGTCCACAAGAAAAAACCAATGAAACGATATCCAGTAACACAAGTAAGATGAACTTTTCACTTCGTCTAAAGTGCAAGTCGCACACATTCTTGACATAAAAGCTATGATAGTGGGTGTTTCTGCCGACCGATGACCACATTTTGCTACCTTGATATGTTGCTCAAGATAAACTCCTCCTGTCAACGAACACTTATCATTTGCACACCTTTCAGGTTGTCTGATTGTGAAATCAGTCCTTATAATTAATGACTTCAGTTTTGAAAGAAATTTGTAGGTATCCTGTGATTTAAAATGTAAAATCCCTACTAATAAACCATCGTTTTTATTTCAGGAAGCCCTACCAGATATCTTCTACATGTATTTAAACATGGACTCTGGCACTCTTTCATTCGCCTCCGATGTAGGTTTCTATGGAACAGCGTTTCATGGTTTACGTCAATGTGCACAGCCCTTATTCCCCATGGTTTCTGCTACAGTAGAGGGTGCTGCTATTACAATGACGTATAATGGATCGGAGATGGGTAAGCTATGATCATTATTATTCAAAAACGGTACCAAATTGGGGGATTAATCATAGACTAAAAGAAAACTCAAAACAAATTAAACTTATTTGTTACCGGGGGGAATTTTGGTAGTTGTCGCCGTTGTACTTTTTTTGGTTTTTTGTATATGCTGTCTAACTTTTTACGGTCGAAATCCGAATAAAACCCAGTTTGAACACAGGAAATTCCACATACTAACTTAAACTAAGCAGATAATAATATTTTTCTATGAGGCAAATAAAGAAATTGTCAAGTGTCAAGGCATTTTCCTCTTTTGCCTTGATTTAGTTACAGCCCTGTAATAGAAAACCATAGACTTTGTTATCAAGAAACTCAAAAAAATTATTAAAGGTGGTTCAACAAGATATATTTAAGTAGCTAATCATGATTTGTTATGTGTATTTTGCAGATCCCGTAACAATGCAACAAGTTTACGGACAACAATCAACTACCGTGGTCGTTCAATAACAGAAAAACTCAATTTTCCAGCTTTCACCAGTCGTGCTTTCAGATTTATAAAAGGCAGAAATGTGTATTAATTTACAGTTGTTATATTATTGTGATTAAAGTCACTTATTGAAAATAAATTTATTTACTGTTTTTGAAACTTTTTCTAATCGTTTCTTGCAAGTTGAAAGTGCCAATAATACCAAATTTGTTTTTAGGAAAAGTTGCATCGACTGATTTGACAGTGCCACTGACAGTATTATTGGTTTGTTTTGCAAATGATCGTCGTGACAAACATAATATTCAAATCAAGGGAAGTAACCTGTATCTAAAATCTATTTCGAAAAAGGGACAAGTCTGAATATGGACAATATTCTCTTTCTATCGCCGTCTTAAACAAAAATTTCTTCTTGGTACGATGATTTATAGCAGTGAATACGGGCATAAAGAAGTTACAAAATCATATTTGAGAAATAAGAAGACCCCACGTACCAACGAAAATATCATTAAAAATAAGGTCTAAGATATAGGCCGATATAGGTCGTATATCTTTAGAACATGCACAATTTCTTACTTTACGATGGAATAGAGAAAATAAATTGAAGGAAAGTGCTGTCTATTTTGGACATACAATTTCATTTACAATTCTACATAGTCTAACATCTTGTTATAAAGAGACAATATAAACAAGTTTAAAAAACAAACACAATTCAAAGTTTGTTTATTTCATTCAGTCAATAACTCAACTTTTTAAAACAAACCCCTTAATTGAGAATACTGTTTGACACAACAGTCAGAAATATTGACTGTTCGTTTTAGACACGTTCTCATTTCAACCACGACTTGATGGTACAACTTCGTTTTATGTTTTGAAATGAAGATGTGGATGTATTTTTTGATAAACTAGGGTAAGATGTGAAACTTTCAAACAACATTTTGAACTATATTAGGATACACATCCAGATGTAATTTCAAATTTAAAGAGACAATTTGAAGAGACATTGATCATTATGTTTACAAACTTGTTCAGGAAATTTAACAAAGTTTTTTCTAAAAAAATGTGCTTCTACATGCATATTGTCTCTTCAACCTAGAGGGAGCCGCCGTGACTCCGTGAGTTAGACGCTTGCTCGCTAACCTGAAGGTCTAGGGTTCAATCCCTGCATAGGTCGAGATAATACCTTCGGATTTTTCAACCCGGTTTCCCCTTATCAGTGATGCAGGTGAGAGGGGCTGACATGGAAAAAGCGTCTAGTCGTTCGGATTAAACCGAGGCCCCGTGTGCTACGTTAAAGACCCTCGACAGTTGGAAATCGAAAAAGAGCAGGCTAATGCCGCTGTCGTGGCAAAATTTCCCTCATAGCACCGTGCATGGCGTTGCCCGTCTTCCTTAGCCCACATGGTGCAGAAAAGTAGGACGTAAAACTCCATTCGTTTCATTTCATTTTCTTCAACCTAGAACAGACCACGTATTCTCGAAACGATCTTAGATAGAATGTCCTAGAATCAATGTTAGAAGATAAGAATCTAGGACATCCAAACGCTAAGATCGTTTCGAGAATACGTGGCCAGGTCCATATGTCCAGCTTCCTCCAACTCGTAAAATGAAGAAACAATTAGTTAAAGAATTTTATGACCCACATGTACATTTTGTTATTGGGTTGGGAGTAAACTTTTCTCATAATTTCAATAGACATGAGTGGCCTTTGTCAAATTCCTTTTTCAAGGTCAACAATGCACCTAGGACGAGTGAAGATGAAGCGATGGATTGTATTAATAACCATAATAATTATACTAGTTATTCAGTATTTATTTACAGGTAAGGTTCTTTAAGAACTCAGAAGTTAGTTTCCATGAATCTTTTAGCATATGAAGGGACACAACTATAGAGACACCATTCAACTGAACCAGAAAAATGATGATATGAATTAATGAGTACAAAGAGAGGGATAGGGTCATATAAAATACCATAGCAGCCATCTCTCTTTGTCTCCCAGATATGCTGATATGCCATGTACGCACGTGACCTTAAGCAACTCCTTATCTGACTTTCGTCGAATCACATCATCAATCATAGTGCAAAGCTATCAATTAGAAAAAGGTCCATATAGAAACTTCTAACCGCAATTCACTCATTATTCACTCACTTTATCCTGATACAAAGATAAAACCTTCGGATCTTTCAACATGGTTTCGCCCTGTCAGTGATGCAGGTGAGAAGAGCTGACATGGAAAAAGAGTAGTCGTTAAAGTCGTGCACGTTAAAGATCCCTCGACAATTGGAAATTGAAAAAGAGCAGGCTAATGCCACTGACCTAGCAAAATTTCCCTCATTGCACCCTTAATGGCGTTTCCCGTCTTCATTAGCCCATATGGTGCAGAAAAGTAGGACGTTTCATTTCATTTTATACTGATACAACAGTTCACCGAGAAAGGTCTTACCACAAATTACTATTCCCTTGACTTTCTACGACAACAGGTGTTGAGAAATAAGAAATCAGGAACTTGTTTACTGTTGCCATGGATTAATATCATGGCAATAGATTATCGACAGCAACTTACTTACCAATGATAGCAGCAGTTTTGCAGAATAAGTAAGATACGAGTATGATTCAATAAATTATATTGTATTTACCAGGTATCAAAACTAAAGTTTCAAGAAAATACTTCCAAGATTTTCGATGGAAATCCAAAGAACCGAAGCAACAAGTAATACTGGTGGCATACATGCGCAGTGGTTCATCGTTTGTTGGTAATATTCTACAGTATAATCCGGATGTATTTTATGTATTTGAACCACTCTACACTCTAGAACAATTTTATACAAGTGCCATAAAGAAACCGATTACTTTTTTTCATAAACCACCATTGTAAGTATCATTATTTTTCCCTTTTGTTTTTTTATTATATTTCCCAGTAAGGATATATTTAAACACAGTCATATACACTTGATACTGCGGTACTATTTCGGGCTGTCCAGCACTTATCGACAAAAATAATGACTAATTTAAGGGATAGAATTAATAAATACCAGGGCAAATTAAGGCCAAAATCGGAATTTTAAAACTAAACTAGTGCAGTTTTAGACATTAAAATGCATTAATTTTACACCTTTTTTATTGCAAAACTAAAAAAAATAGGATTTTGGGGCCGCTGGACAGCCTGCTAATGTTATCAGATGATGATTGACCTAATGTTCTGTAGGGGACATTCATAAAAACAAAATGGTTGGAACTGACACAGAAAAGTCATGTTATCGCCAAAATATCTCTCATAGAAATTTAGTAAGATCCATTTCATTTCATTATTGGTAATTTTTTTAGATGATTTAGAAATTTGTCAAGAAGCATGTGACATTTATCTTATATTTTCAGTTTTAAGGGCGATGTAGACTATGAAGAATTGAAAAATGAGTATGTGTCAAAAGCGTTATCATGTGACTTCAGGAATCTTGATATCGACACACTGACACATATACACTGGATTCGAGGGAAAATGGAACCATATTACGAATGTCTGATAGGAAATGGGAAATTCAAATCAACCAATCAGAAAACTAGACAGTCAGCACCTGATTTAAAATCAATATCAAGGTCAAACATTCTTAAATGTTTACATTTTCTTTATAAAGAATGTGACAAACGAAACGTGTCGTTGATTAAATTAATCCGATATAAGATGAGAAGTGCCGAAATACTACTCGCAAAATATCCGAATTACAAAATAATCATTTAGTTCGAGATCCGAGGGCAATATTATACTCCAGACATAGGATCGGATTTAAAAAATTGCAGGTCACTGTGCAGAACCAATCAAAAGAGTTGTGTGAAAGCATGCTTGATGACGTCACTATTTATGAATATTTACGTCACAAATATAAAAATAGAACAAAGCTGGTCCGATATGAAGATTTAGCTGACAATCCTATCGAGGAATTTCAATCTTTATACAAATTCATGAACATTAGATTCGGTGACGACCAGAGGGACTATATCAACAATATGACTGATCACAATGGGCGCTCATGCGCATATTGTGTATCCAATAAAAAGGCAGCAGAAACTGCGCATGCGTGGCGATATACAATCGATTGGGATTTTATGAAAATAATTGAAAGTAATTGTGAAGATATTTTTGGCTCTTTAGGATACCGATCTTTTGAAAACAAAGCGAATTTATTGGACCGGGATCTGAAACTGTATGACAGCAAACACAATACGCATATTCTTCAGTGAATAATTCCTCAACTTACTGTATTATATCTTAGAAGAAAGAAAAATCCATATTCAGACGTAGGGGTCCAAGAATGGATACCTTCTCACGTGAAGTTATTACCGATAACATGACGAACCAAGTAACCACAATCAAGGTTGGCTTGACATTTCTTTGGTGTATTCTAATATAACGGCTGTCATACAGAGTTATCGGTCCTGTCAGTCCCTTGCAAATGAAGGGGACTGCAAGGACCGACAACTCTGTTAGAGATATATGTTGAACGGACGACATTACAATTGATATAGATAGCTGATATCTGCGTTCCATCAGTTAGTAAATTGGTAAACTTCGCTGATGTTAACATTATTAACGTGATCGGCCTATCAGGTGCGATCACGGTTCGAGTTTGTTTTTCAGATATTTTGTGTGACAATTAAAAAGTTCTGCAATTTAACATTAAAAAAATGAATAAAGGTGGGAGTAGGAGTCTCATTTATTTACGATCGACTGTTGCTAAGCCTTTCCCTCTTGGTATGATGTCTGCACTTTTTCAATAATATTTTTCCCCTTACAGCATTATTAGTTACTTTTGTAATTTATTCGAGCATGACATTTGGTAATCGACCAGGAAACCATACAAGTCTATACGACATTTTGTTTGTTTGATTCTATGCACAATTTTATAGATATTTTCGTCAGCAATGCTTCTTAGATCAATACATTGATCTTAACGGGATAGCCTGGTTTTTAAGTAAGTTGGAAAAAATTAAGTGCTCACAAAATTAAAAACTATTGACCAAAATTCAAAGAAAGACCCATACCGTATCTGAAAGGTTGAACAGAAAGCATCTCGCCCTGAATAGTTTAAAGGTTTTACATAATATCTTTATGCACCAAATCAATCATCTTTTCCAAATGTTTTCTTTGGGAAGAACAAATTCAAGTTGATCAAGCACAGAAGAAAAGAAGTGAAAAGTATATTTTAGAAATCTTTTGTAGAATTTACAACTTTTATAATCATAAATATTTTCATACTGCCTGTTAACTCTGTAATTAAAATGTGACTAAAATATAAATCGAAATGTACATGTTATTTAGAAGATGAGCTTGCATCTGTGGTAGGTTTGATTGATTTTAAACTTAGTTTACTCCTCAAACACCTTAAACAGTTGCAAGGAATTTGCAGAAATGTTTCCGTAAAGCTGAATCTGTCTCAGTAATGAATGGTGAATTTTGTTGTGCCTTCTTGGTATCGACTTTTTACTTTCGGCATTTCACAATTATATGTGACCTAAATATAATCCCTATCTTTATATCTTTCAGGGGATAATACTAGTACAAAATTATTCATTTAATATTGTATTGTGAATATCGGTTTACTATTATCATTTTGTGTACATATCCTACGAAGGTTTTGTTTTTATCGTCTTTGCTTACAAATACTAGTCGTCCAGAACGACCAGCATCTGATATTTAAATTACCAGAAAAACGTGGTCACGTGACAACATTGGCACGATTTAATATTCAATGATAAAACAATCGGTTAAAAAAAAGTTGAACACGATAATTTTGTATGAGCGTGCCAAGTGTCTGCCTTTAAACTTGGAGGCTGTGGTTGATCTTGACATAAGTACGTTTCAAAAAACCAGGTATTGAAATATCGACATTTAGGGAAATCCGAAGTTTGGTGTTATCGTAGCGTGGTGAAACGTTAATGCTTGTCAGAGAACATACCTGAACTTGTACATACTCGGCGACCTTGCCATATTTGAATGTTATCGTTGAAAACAACAACACAAAACAAAGGGGTGAACCATCGATAATGTTTTTCATGTTATCGTTATCAAAAGCAACTTTTGAATACCCGATTAGCTAGTTAGTGTATATTGTCGTTGATGGAAACTCAAACTGAACAACATTTAAATTGACCGATAAAAATCAATAAAGACAATGGAACCCTGAGTCTTGTTTTGAACATTTATCAATATGCATACATGTTTTCCAATAGTTAAGTCAGAGAAAAATGAACTTAACTTTTATTGCTATTGATTGAGCAGTTATTTGTGACGGAGAAGATGGCTGGTGCACTGATCAGAATAGCGGTAAGAATTTTCTTATCGCTCTTTACTGTACAAACCATAATAATTTTAACTTTAAGACTAGGAATAATTCATAAATTTCTTAAGGTCAATGTCCGTCATCTCATTGCAGATCATTCGTTTATATACAGTATCGCACTTGATTAAATCACCTTGTTGATGTCGGCGACCAAATATTGCTCGATGTACGATCTAGGGAGGCTCTGGTCCTGTAGGTGGCACATGACGGCCATAGTTTGTTGCTGAACGACGTGAAGTGCCTCCCCGTCGCTTGTGTCCGTCCCCGTTAGCATGTGGCCAAATTACGATTGTCGGCGAAAAGGTCAACGTATGCACACGTGGGCCTACACTTGGAAAAATGATGCTAACGCTCTGTAAGATCTGTTGACATAATCCGGCGTAGGTTCACGGCAGGGTCCTTGGGCTGAGTCCTAGAAAAAACCTTCAGTTAAGCAGAGATTGCTTCATTTCATTTGTACAAAACCAAAACGATATAGATTTTGATTAATTTTTGACACTTCAAAATTGTCAGAAATTTGTTCTGTGTGCCTTTTTGTTGTACAAAATCTGAGACCCAGTACCAATTCATTTCTGGCGACGGAGCTGCTTCACAGTTGAACTCTTAAAATTTAACCCAACAATGTTTGCCGACAATGTTGAAAAACTGTACTTATTTCGAAAATTAGTTTTATTTGTAAAAAAATCTTTTTTTAATTCTCTATCTGTATGTGTTTTGTAGATCTTGTAGATATATAGAGGAATAAAAGTCCATAATAATAATATTTTATCATTTTATCGTTTAGCTTCTCGTAGGAATTTCTTTGATGAAAATTCAATGTGAGTACATCTATTTGTTTATTATCAAATAAGCAGATCAAACCATTTTACTCGACTCATTATTATTAGAATCGATTGGCTCTCGACACTTGTATGGTCTGGACTGGTTCGCCACTTTTGGGGGTTCATTTGGATCTTGAATATATGTAAATATTCTTCAGAAGTACTAGAAATGTACGAAAATCGCATAATTCCATCAAAAATATCTCAAACTAGGAATTTCTCTTTCTTTTTCTATACATGTCTTTTCTGTATATTGGTAGAATCTCAAAAAACTTTCAAACGCCGGAAATTCTGGACACACACGGATTTGAAGTCTCAAATTTCGACGGTGAGCTACGAACGCTTTTAGTGATTAGCTCAGCTAATTCCGGATTCTGCTACAATCGGTCAAACGGATATCAAACCTGTCCCTTTAAAGGCTTTATACTACCTGTTGTAACTAAAAAAAAAACTTTGTACACAGAAGACGATCTTGAAACTTTCTTTGTTCTACCGAAATTTATAGCTAGCGAATGAGTCGACTACTTTATTCCAAAAGTAAATTAATAAATCATTATAATTACAGGTATAGAGATAAGCCACTGGGGGAATTATTTCGTTTTTACATTTTTAAAATGTTTTAGTGACTTTGAAACTAATGTGGATAACATTATAGTCGTCACTACAAGAAATGTATCTTCAACCATCAGTATCATTTGTATGGAGACGAATGAAACATGGGAGGTGTCTCTGGAACCTTTTGAAGAATATAAACTACATTTAAACAGTTCTGTCACTGCTATTCCATTTGGTGAAATATTACCACGAAAAGCGATAGTTGTCATGGCGTCGACAAAGGTGTCAGTATACGGATTTAGTGCGAATGGTTCGTCAGTTGATGGATTCTTAGTCATACCTGTAGCCGGACTTGGAAATGAATACCGAACAGTGAGTCCGGTGACATATAGGGCAACTCACTCATATCCTGAGGGTGGTCGTAAGTACTTGTTAAATTCTTCAATTGATTTATTTTCGTCAGCGTAAGAGTATCAGGACATGTGGCTAATTATCTTTTCTCATTTCTATAGCCGATTCAGTCACCTTTTTTTTTTTAATATTTCAGCTCAATTTGCAGTCGTAGCAGTTGAAGATGAAACTAACCTTACCATAACATTTACAATAAACAATAGGTGTATTATAAATAAACAACATAGATGGAACATAGGACAGCTGAAAACATTTACCTTGTCAACTTACGACGTACTGAATATATGGTGTGCTTCGGATACTACTGGGTCTCTAGTGCAGTCAAGTAAACCAGTGGCTGTGCTTAGTGGTAGTATAGCAGTTGCAATACCAATATCTGCTTACCCAAACCATGTCGTGGAAATGCTTCCGCCCACCAAAGATTATGGCTATCAGTGGGTAGTACAAGCACCAACCGGAACAGACTATTCTTCTATGTACCGAATAATATTTCATGAAAATAATACGACTATATCATTTTACGACCCACCTGAGATCTTTTATCCTGGAGACTTCATAGACGTCGAGATAGAAAATGATGATAAGCAACAGTTCTGTTTCAGCACCAATAAACCGGTTTTAGTTGTACTGATAAACAGGGGTACGAATGAACCTAGTTCCACATATCAATATCAAGGCGAAGCTTACATGAGTATTATCCCCCCTTATGAAAAGTATGGAAATTATTACGTCGTCCCATATGGTTTAATCACAAATGCTACAGATAGGTTGGCTATAATAGGATACACTGAGTATAGACATCTATTAGTACCACAAGTAACTCCATATGAATCGGTTGAACATTGTGATGATGTATTCGAAACATCAATAGTGTCATTGCCATACTCGTCACAGGTAAAAAGCTCAGTGTACCATTGTGCTCAACCATTCGCTGTTTTAATGTATGGATATAATGTAAAACTTGGGTATGGACTTCCGGGAGGATTTAACGTTACTGACACTTCAGGTAAGTCTGTGATGTAAGAAAATTATAAGTTACAATGGCAAATGAAGTAAGGTAACGCTTATACAACTGACAGCGTCGTTAAACACCCATTCAAATTCTCTGCAATTTTCTTTTTATTTCCAATTTATTTATAAAAATGTAGTGTTATTAGGACAGATAAGCTCAATGAATGGCATGTTTGTCATACAAATGTACTATTTGTTATATCAGGCAGCACATATCGCGATTAACGTCAAACGAGAAGACAGTAAAGTTGTGCTCAATCCTCTTAAATTTCATTTTTCGAAAATTTAAAAGAAGAGGTAAATTGTACGCAATACTATGATACGTTATTTATCTTTTTTGTGATCAGGTGAAGAAGAGTGTTTGAGTTCACCATGTTTAGATAATGGTTGGTGTATAGAAACTAGTTTATCTTTCTTTTGTTATTATGCAGGTCAGTTAATGAAAACTATCATTTAAAACTTTGGACGAACAGCTGACTATCCAAGCCCCTTTGTTTAATATGAAATCCCCAGATCCCCTGTAGCTACGGGCCTGAGCGCATTGGAAAAGGCAAGAATAGGTGTAAAATATTCAACACATGGAATACATTCCGAATGCACTACGACTTTATAACATAGATGTGATCAGATTTCTTTTTCTAATTTCGGTTGTTAAAAATTGTGAAAAATATTCGGATGTTTCTTTTGATATATGTATTTTCATTTTCGCCAGTTGTAGCAACGCACTGAAAAGGTACCTTTTTATTTTTAAGAAATGACAACTACAACAGCCAACTACAATTCATCTTACGTCACTGAATATTCAACAACCGAATCGACGATCTCAGACACGCCTTCTTCTACAACCGAAGACACAAGTACAACAAATGATGTAACGACTAATAACACAACGGAGGAAGCATCAAATACCACTGGTACGGAATCAAATCTGACTACCACACAAATTCCAAAACTCACAAAATATCCCACAACAACTAATTCTACGACAGTCTCTATTTCTGAATTTCGAAGGATTTATTTTCTGTGTGAATGCCCGTGCGTCAATCGCCTGGACACTACAAAGAACTTGCTTATTCATGAAGAAGAACAGAAAAAGAACATCCTGAGCAAAGCTAATTTATCAAAGACACAACGAGAGAAAACGAGTGCTGACAATATAACTAAGGCCGAGCAAGATCTAGGTTTCACTGCTGTTTTTATAATGACATCTATATGCAGTATAATAGTATTGTTAGACCTCCTAAAGCTAGCGGGCTGGATAAGAGGATATATTTGCAGGCGAAAACAAACTTTGGAAGAATCTCAACAGCGAAGCTGGTGAAGCCATCATTAGCAATAATATGAAATAAACATACTAAATACACAACATTTATTAACGGAAGTGTTTGCTTGCACGGATTGCTATCAGTTATAGCTTTGTTGGCGCTTCGAAAGAGACACAGTGTCACCCGCTGCTAAGAAAGGCTCAGATTATGACCTTCCTATCTACTAACACCGCAACATTACTCATTTAGTTGAGCTCAGGAATAGTTTGATCTTTTGCTTGGTCACTGTTTGATTGGCATTAAGTCATCGACATGACTGGAATATGAGCCTTTATGGATATCAATCACTTTATTTCCTAATTACGACTCTTTGACATTGGTAGATATCAAGTGTGCTCGTGCTACAGGTGGGGCTTTTGAGTCAGTTATTATCTGTGCAGCCACTCTTTACTTCCACAGAGTACATCGTCATATTATCACTAATTTAACCTTGTTATACAACATCTAGACTCCTCCCACTCGGTGAAACACCGAAAAGATGGACGGAAATTTTCGATATCCTGTAGGACCTTATGATTCTAAGATAAAGTCAGACTTTATACTTTTTAATTTTTCGACTTTTAAATTATATTTCAGATTTGCAGTTAATATTTTTTTTTATTCCTGAAAGTGTAAATATTATTGAATATATTCTTTCGGTATGCTCATTTGATACAATGTGAATGCTGTACAATTTGGAAAATTTTCTGATATTATTGATATTGCACCTTTTGTTATATTAAAGCTAATAAAGAAACCGAACGAAAGTTTGGTCTAGTTTTTTTTAGACTGAAATGTGAATACAATGAATGTTTCGACACAAGTTGGAAAATATCCTGATATCATCGATACACAAAGTATTATTCTAAACAGAGTTTAGGAAAACTAAGACATATGGATTATCCCACAAACGTTATTTTTGATTCAGCTTTCCAGGATCAATTAGTTATTGGGAATATGATCATGACGACCTGTGCCGTACGGGACCACGATTGATTGATATGAGTCCATCAACTATAAACAACAACAAACATAGGGACTAATCTTAATGTCGACAGTTATCGACCTCTATATTATACCGTATGGTTCAATGGTTTACTGTTGTTCGTAGTCATAAGTCACACACAGATTATGTCCCTTTCGCATTACAATGTTGTATTAATGGTATTGTAGGCTCTGTATTGCTTCGATGACGCCATTGTGTAAATAGCCAGAGAGTATAGATAGATAGTATAGTACAGTTATCTATATTCTCTGAAATATCTTCCAAGAGGTGTAAAACTATCACGAAAAAAGGTAGCGAATAGTAACAGGATCTTCTAGGCGTATGCCAACCTTCATTGAACTATATCAGAAGATGTTGACTACGCATTTTAAATGGAGGTTACAAGTAGCTTGAAAGTTTTTAAAATCAATGGACTCCCACAACATTTGAGTAGCCATAGCAATAAAAACTGTACGTATTCAACCTCGGATTATAAACTATTTATACAAGGGAGATAATCAATAATGATACATTTATTATATTTTTCTATTCCTACCGAACGATTGATATGTTACAATTTTAGATTTAATTTTTTATATTTTATGTCTTACTTACATGTTTATTTTACTATTTGCAATGGCAAACACATTGATATAATATTAACCGAGAAATAAATAGAGATATTTGAAAACCATTTTTTGATATTATTCTATCAATTTATATAGAAATACAACATCTTCTTTCATTACGACAATATACTCCCATTATTACTGTGGGTTTTAACCTAAGTGGTTGTCTAGCAAGTTTATATAGAATATTTAGAGCTCCAACATGGAGTAATTATGTCGACAATATCTAGGAACTGTAATGAATACCTTAAATGTTCAGGTTTGTCAAGTGTAAGTACCACGTTCTGTAGTACGAACCATAATAATACTTAGCAGAGCAACAATGTTTGCTTTATCTTCCTGATTCATAAGTTCTTCGAAGGAATTTCGTGTGAAATTGTAGGCTTCTGCACTGTTTGTGGGCGTTAAGTAATATTTATAGAACAGTGTTAACGAATCAAAACTGTTCTATAAATTACTTGTAACATTGACACCCGTCAAACAATGTCAAAAGTGAAGTAGGCAGATGCGGTTAATTGAGTCGACCAATCGAAACCAACAATCATTTTTCATAGCCTGACATTGAAGAAAATGCACGTGCATGCACGAGATGAAGTAGTTTAAAAGCGATTGCTTGGGTGTGTAATAAATGTTTAATGATGAGAACTCAGCGTATAAGGTTGGCTAAGGAGTTATCATGCGACGATGATTTAATTCTCTCTCAAAGCTTATATGAAGTAGAAGATGATCTAGAATTGTTTGTTAGTGTTCAGAAGTTAGAGAAATTGAATAACTAAGGTGGCGACGTAAAATCTGAAAATGAGGTTGATGCAAACTACGGTGACTTTGAATTGAAATTTACATGTACTGAAAATATAGAAAGAGCAATTGGTTCGATTTTCGGCTACTACGGGAAATCGACAAAGTGGGCGTTACATTTTTGACGATTGGCGAAAAAACAGATCATCAACGTCAACATTACCAATACCAACACTTTGTAAAATGAAACCAGGCTACAGAGATTTGTTTTAGCTCGCAAGAAATGCGGGGGAGAATATTCACCTAATTCTATCTACTACTATGTGTGGATTGTTGAGGCACTTAAAAGATGAGAATATACCTATACCTATACCTATTTGGGTTGGGTTGTGCTCGTCTTGGTTACTGACAGTAAAGACATAAAGCATTCTTTGGAGGTAAGAATGAGTAATTATTTGCTTTCTAATAATTCCAGTTTTTTTACTTCTTGTCTTATTTTTTGATCACAATATCGAGATAATCAGAAATCTATTTAGCAAGAAGGAAGCTGGCTATTGCTATTACTCTCTTAGTTTTCAACCGATTTTGATGAAACTTAAAATGGATGTTTCGTTTTTACCATCCGCATGCCGTGGTGTGCGTATATGGCTGTGGTCCACTATCTTGTATTATAGTTTTTTTGTATAAGACGTATGAGGTGTTTTGTATTAGAGGTTTCTTGTATTTTGTATTAGAGGTTTCTTGTATTTTGTCATTAGAGGTATCTTGTATTTTGTATTAGAGGTTTCTTGTTTTTAGACGTTTTAGGTATTTGGTATTGCATTATGCTACATACGTGTTTTGAATTAGACATTTCTACATAGCAGTAGGTTTCCCCAGCCCTACAAAATAACTTTATTATACAACTAAAACATCAAACAAAATTTGCCGTGAATATTACAATACAGTGTATATCATTAAGTGTCAGATGTTACATTATATACAGTGTTTCAGTAGAGATATTCGCAGATAGACCATTTCATATAAAGATCAAATTTAAAACTTTCAGCATGAAGATATTCTGTATTGTTGGGACACTGGTAGCTAGTTGTATGTTAGTTGAGGTGTTGGGAACGTGTCAAGACCAATCCGGTATGTATTTACTACTCTCTGGCCACATTCTAAAGTTCTAAAATGAATTTTTTCTCTCGTGTCACAAATATTAAAAATATGATTTTCAAGTGCATACCAATTGTCTTAGAATGCCTTTGGGTCCATGAATATATAAGTTTTGAAAATTTTCCACTTGAAATGAACAGACTTCTCTCCAAGAAATTTCATGTGAAAATGACACATTTTGAACTGAAAATCTCCCTCTGTAACAGTTTCAAATGATTTTGTTTTCAATGGTTGGAGTTTCATCAACCCAAAGACAATCGAAGACTCTTAGCAATATTTGGAGATTAATATTTCAATTCATTTAGAACTTGATGTGGCTAGAGAGTAAGTTTTCGAAGATAATGCTTTTTATTACTTACATTTTACATTATTTATTATGGCGCTCAATATGAAGATGGCGTCTACGTAGATTCCCCGGAGCCCAAACCAATGCTATGTAATCGTTGTTATGTATATTCATTGTGGTCGATGTTTTATTAAATTTGCCATTTGCATTCGATTTTAATATTTGACGGTTATGACACATGGTTATTATTCTCTGTATGGATACAGATAAATAGAGGCATATTAGCTCTAGCTGTCTGAACGTGAGTTATGTATAGTTCTACGAACAAGCCAAGAATTCGACCAAATCTGTCTCTTTTGATTTTCTTCAATCAAGTTAAAACACATTGGCGCATTTTGGTTAATTTTAAGTTAAGAATAAGTTAAACAGGGAGGTGCAACATATTATCCAAAATGCACCAATGTGTTTAATTTTGAGTAATAATACTGATCGATCGATCGATTTGTATATGGTAAATGCATTGTATTATATAGACGTATTATGATCTGTTTTCAGAAGGTTTGCATCATTTCCAGGCTTTGTCAAAGAATGCCATTAATGCACCTTTTTATTATCTTACCGATACCTCGAAAATAGCATATGTATATCATTAGAGATTTGATTACAAACGAAATAAGAATAAAACGAAATCGGACCGGAAGACTATATGAAGCCGCCATTTTGTTTGCAGAAAGATTACTTATTATCTGATTTTCATATTTTTGGTACCAAACGAGACCTAAGACGTTTCGGATGATTAGCCTCGACCAATCAGCCTCTTCCCCTTAGCTATGATTATCTACAGATGCGAGCGATTTTTGTCGCCGACTGAAATCTTGAGTAAAATCCCGCGTTTTCCCGTGCTTTCACGACAAGATCATCGCGTTCCCGACACGATTTATAATATCAAACAAGTTCGATATTTGTCTCCGTCTGCGTAGCATCGTCATCATCCAACCAGATGTTTTCCCCTTCATTTAATAACTAATTCGTTAAAACGAAATATTTTATAAAAGTACGGGAAATTGCGCCTATGGGCTCCGTAGAAAACAAAGTATACATTCCATTTGGATCAAGCTGATGGTCAATGGTTTTTTCAATATTTTTTTTCAAAACCAGCCTGTTTGAGTTGTTGTATTTCATTACAGTACTGATATTTTCATGGGTTTTATAATATGTATAATTTCTAATTAATTATTTCCATTACTAATAACATGGGTGAGTGATTCAAAGGGAAAAAAAAACTTTCAGAAATGCATCCTTGCATTAGTGCGTATAAATAGGCCTATTAACTTTAGAATTTTAATGGGGTTCTGTGAAAAGTACAGCGGCGCATTCCAAACACAACTGGCGAATTCTGGCTGAAATTAAATCTTTCACTATTAACCTTTTATGTGTGTAATATGTAAATATGCCTACTATACTAATCTAATTTTTTTTGCTCTCAGACAATTGGAGGGAATATCAGAAAGCGTACGATATCAATAATTACAGTGCTGAACACCGATTCTATACAAGAAAAAACGTGAATGGATTCGCTGGTACTTTCGTGATCAATGAGTAAGTATGATTAAAATCAATTTCTATCGAAGATATCAAAATGGAAAGCCAAATGTATAAGATTTTTTTTGGTTAATATAAAATAATTTCAGAAATACGCACTCAAATTATTCATATTAAATAGGGAATATCAAATGTAATTAATCATTTTTTTAAATATTTCATTGTCACTATAATATATGCTACACAATACACAAAAAATAAACAACACTTATTTCTATTGCGAATATGGTTACAATAAGATTTATTTAAATTAATATCAGAATATCAGACCCATAGCTTAGGACGTCCTCCAAATCAGCTTCATATATAAAACCTCAAGCTATTTGAGTGGTGGAGGTTGTCATGTTGGATCTGATCTGTAGGTTAATCACGACCTTGACCATGACAACTTAACAACCAATCAAATCGCCGATAACCTTCAGGAAAATGGCAAGAAAATTTTCATAATTTTCACTCTTCGCTGATCGATATACAGTGTGTGATAAATAAACACAGGCCTAACTAGGTGTTAACATTGATGAACTTTAGTGTTGATATGTTTTCGAATTAGTGTATATTTAATCGATTTCAACGCACGGTAAGTTCACAACTTGACCATAAATCTTGGCCACACTACCGACTGACTTGTCGTTAAATGCCGAGTAGCGTTAGTGATTTTGACTACTGCAGCAATGGCCTTAATTTCGATCCCATTATCTAAAAATACTTTGAAGCGAAGTAGGCATCCTTTCGCCGGCTGTCGAGTATATAATGTCACCCCTTTTTATCTATCCGTGTTCGTCGTTCCTTCTATTTACATTTTATCCTATCATTGATATTTTGTTCAAATGTTATTCCGAGAGATAGAACTAGTATTATTCCTTTCGATTCGGGTGCTAACAGCATCTCCCCCACCTTACATCCTCTATTGCAAAAATGGGAGTGATTGACATTATTTCTCTACTGCAGGATAAACTTGATATAGTAAATATACTCATTTTATGTTGGAATGCATGGTAGGAATGGGTGCTGTGTTTTCGTTCTTGTGGACAAAAAAACAAACTTATGACCATGGTTTCCGTGTAAATTTTTAAGGAAGACGTTCGAAGCACCAGTGGCAGAAACGACACTATTTCTCTTCACTAGCGATACTGTTCCATATTGGTTTTCAACATATTCAATGATTGTTTTACTTCACGGTTATGGAAGTCCACTAAAGGTATGTATCAACACTTAGATATTTATTGTTGCATAATAGTTCCACGTATATGTAGACCAAACTTTCGTTTCTTGTTTACGAGCCTTTATTTTTATATGGCCACTACAGTGAGTTTGACTCTAAAGAAAATTTAGTTGAAAATATTACTTGATATTTACTTGAACTCTGATCAAGGTAGCGCTCATGTGAGCCGAGGACTATCATTTTCATCTGTGTCTTTTCTCTGCGAATTGTTTTTACGTTTTCTGGTTATTGCCAGTTAATCACCGATACACAGATAGACTTATACTACTTACAGATATCAATGTTCCACCCCAGTGGTTCTATAACTGTGCAGTATCTTGGAAATAAATTTCAATCGTTGTGTCGAAACATAAACTGTCAACATGAAGTGAACATTGATCCTATGTCTACTCATAAGAAAGAGATAGTTGATCCAAGTGGATGGAGCATGTTTACGGCTGTTCTTGCTCCGGACCTTGTCGGTAAGTTTGATTTTGTTCACAATAATCAATTGTCCCGTGGAAACAAACCCGACAGATGACCTAAAACGAAGGTCCAATGTTGGTGTGAACACTGCTTTTACAAGCTTTGCAACTTAGTATTGCGTGCCCTCTTTTAGCAAAATTACTTTGTCTACCAATCTTATAATGAGAGGTACAATTTTCCTATTCGCTCAACTCTACTGAAACATTGTGTGAAGAAATAATTAAATAATTTCAGGAAAAGAAGGAACAAGGAAGATAATGTATGATTCAGAACTAAGATGTAAATTAGATGGAGTTATCGATAATCCTTAAAACATTTGAAAACTATTGAAATGAAATAAAACTGAATTTTACTTCTCATTGTTTGTTCCTTAACAGGGACAGATTCGCCATTTGCTTGGGGGGTGATTTGGGTCAGGAATATATTATGTACATAGTCTTTAGAAGTACTAGAAATGTACGAAAATCGAATAATTTTTTCACATTTGCGAGGTTCCAGGGCTGTAAAGCAAAACCCTATCTTCAGAACAAAAGACTCAGTTACAATTTCCATCCGCCTACATCTAATATTGAGGCAGAGTACGTGTGGGGATGGGGCAGTAAACGAAGGACCAATATGTTTGAGGTCGTACACATTAAGGATTTTTCGTCAGTCTGCAATCCAAATAATGGAATGGAATGGAGTTTTTATGCCCTTCTTTTCTGTACCTGGCTAATGAAGACGGGAATGCAGTGTGCAATGGTGGCAATTATTACCAGGACAGTGACTTTGCCAATGGCTATATTCTTGTGAAGTTTTTACCCCATGAGTCTGAGAATAAGTCAATCTTGAGATGCTTCATACTGTTTTATTTCTCATGGAATATTGAGTTCGACATTGATCATTCTGTCTCTAAGCTACATCTCAGTTTTGAATCAGATATTTTCTGTCGTGATCCTTCTACTCCTGAAAATGTAAAATTAGTAAAATATTATTTCAATTTACATATTTTATACAATGTGAAAGAGTGTTTCGGCAAGTTGGAAAGTTTCTGTTTGTTGTATCGTTATTCTAAATTAGACTAATCCTTGAAACATCATTCGTCATTCGAACCTTACACAGAGCAATTAGCTATTTGAAATAGATTCATAACGAACCTTTTGCAAATGGGACCACGACTGATTGAAACGAACCCCATCCACTTGGATCTACTAATTCTTTCTTTTGAACTACACCAATGGGAACTACATCTTCGCGTTGACAGTTCAGGTTTCTACACAATGGATGGAATCTATCTCCAAGGTATTTTACAGTTATAGAGCCATTCTCATGTAACGTCGACACCTATAATTAAACATTAAAACCAAACTTGTTACAAGTGATATATATAAACCAAAATGAAACCCGAAATTCACATATCGGCGAAATATTGGTAGCGGCTAATAAACTTTTCACAAGAGGAAACACATCAATCACAAGTGAGTAAGCATTTCATAGTGAATAATGATAGCAGGTCTGGCACCACCGTCATATATACCTGCTTCCAATATAACAGATTTGAAGAAAAAATTTTGGATGATGTCCACGAGCGTAACCGCTAAGTAACATTGTACCTGCAATGATGTGAAGCAAAACTCAAACCTAAGATGTTTTTTAGTAAATGTGAAAAATTTCTTTTCCGAAAGAACTAATTAAATAGTCAAAATGTCGAAATATTACAATATGTAATGATGGAGAAACAACATCAGACAACCAATATAGTTAATCTAATAACAATGGAGTTATACAGAGGATGAACAGTTTATGATAATCAGAAATGATGCAGACCGGTTAATCGGATGTTTTTTTTTTGTTCTAGGTGTCACTAAGCTGCAGCCAAAATCGACACCTGTAGGATAATTGACTTTCAATTTCATAGGTATACATTTCCGCTCTAATGTATATTCTCTATATTCAACAACTTTTTCTAACCCTTTGTTTTTATAATAATTTTAAAAAAAATGCTCTTGACCGAACCAGAGATAATACTGGACCACCTGGATCGGACCAGTACTTAAAAGAATATCGGAGCACCCACCATAAGGCGGTCTGATCTGCATCATTAACAAAGGTGTTATGTAAAATATAACAAAAACATCAAGAACTTATAACATACTTTCAGTGGACTTCCATAAACGTAACTGTGGACTAACATCATTGAAGATGACTTAAACCAATACGGTATTGTATCTTTAGTGTACAGCAATACTGCCGTTGCTGTCACTGGAAGTTCATGCGTCTCCCTTGATAATGAACAAATAATAAAAAATCGATCAGAATTTGCAAAAAACATAGATGTTAGGCAAAATGGCACACGCAAATTATTATTGGTATAACATCTGCTGAAGATTTTTAATCAAGAACGTGATGGTATACCAAATACCAAATAGAGTAGCCTATGTCGTATTGTCATTTGTGACAAAATTCACCGACCATGAACATTTGTGTGCCCGCGACAAAAGATCACAGAAAGTGTTTTGTCAAATAGTGCATCTATTTAGATTAAACAGGCCAACTTGGTATCGGCTAGACTTAGTTTCTTTTATAACCTACCCACTGATATTGTATGTAGCAGTAAAACCATCCGAGACATCCTTGTTGAACCGACTGTAAACACCATATACAGAATCGTAAGTATCGAGGCCGTATGCCTTTTGATATTCTTTCCAGCTGACTGAAAATAGCAATTTTGAGTAATAACACAGCTTTATGGAACTACAATCACTAGTTAATGTTTAATGTAATTCACGCACAGAATGTTAAGCATTGTCCCTCTAAAGCAATAATAAGTTTTGTAGTAGATACTTATTCTTCCATATTGAGAAATAAGTAACGCAAATCATCTTTTTTATCACAGAAAAACGAATTTCATAATGACATACCCGATTCGCCTATTACCACGACGAATACAATCGGCACCAGTAGAGTAATAAACAGACAGCGTATCTTCAACATGTTAACAACTACAAGTGAGCTGGGTATTGTGATGACGAGCGTAGCAGGTGAAGATGTTCATATTATTTCAACGCTCTTATGAAGCCCAATTTATATCCTTAATAATATTAGTGATGTCATAATTGTCCGAAACATCTGCCTGTATGTCAGCCTCTGATAGCTATTTTGCCAGCTGTCGACTGGAAATAAGTCTGTTTTAAAACGATTTTCTGAAGTTGTGTGTTTTAACATATATTTAATTACCATTGAGATGACTGAAAATTAGTGTAGGAAACCACCATTACTTTCGTTTTGTTAACATCACGTGACCTTGTGACCCTTGATTAATTAGAAAGATGGATATTTCCCTACATCATTTTTGTCACGTCTGTGGTTCCATCAATGTTTTGTTCAAACGAAACTAATCTCCAAAAGGCCATGGTTCACCATATTTTGCTGGTTGAGTTGGATCTTAAATATATTTCATTGTCAATAATCTTTAAATTTACTAAATCTGCACGAATATCATCAAATATTCCTCAAATTAGAAATTTCACTTTTTATTTATGTATACGAAAAGATAATTCGTCATTTTAACTTTCAAACGCTGATAATATTGGACACAACGGGATTCGGAGCCTCAAATTTCGGTGGTCAGCTGTAAACACTATTACTGATTAATTGGCAACAAGATTTTCGTTTCCGAGACTAAGGAACGATTGATCAATCGGATGCTGAACTTGCCCCTTTAAATTGAGTGCTTTGTACGTCGATGTTTCAATTAATTAAACATACTGTTCACGCACTATAGATTATAAGTGGTTCAAAAACTATGGATATAATTAGTAATAGAATAGTAATAGAATAGTAATTAAATATGGATACCGAACAATATTGAAACTTCGTATATAGTATTCCTGCTTGTCATAAACAGTTCTGCAACTTTTGAAAGTAAAGTTGTACCACATTATATAATTAACATTGATATTTTCATAATCTTAATGTACTACTGACCCTCTTTCCAACGATATATGACAATATTTTCATAAACACAATCTTTGAAATGTTAATATTTTTCGAAATCGCATAGCAGACATAACATCTTACGTATTTTCCTCACATCAATGTGCTCTTTATCCTGTTTATAACACAATGTGACAGGAATAGTTAAATACAATAATTCAAATCATTGCAATAGACAAATTACAAAACACAAAATTAAAATTGTATTTCGGTTATCTCATTGATAATAAAACTGTTGTTTTCATAATTATGAGGAACTATATCAATCATAAATGAGGAAGTATATCAATAATAAGCGAGTATGCCTGTTTTCAAAATGAAAAGTGGTAACAAGTGTCTAGAAAAGTACAATGGACAATACACTATATTAAAGTTATTCAGCTTGGTATATAATGTGAATATATTTTATGAAAACCAACATAAAATTTCATATATTGCCTTATAATAGTTATAAAAGTTACAGTATAGAATCTCTGTGGCAGCTCGTGCCTCCGTTATTTTAAATAGTACGGTTATAATTTTCTGAGATGTCTGAATACGTCAATTTTCCAAAGGATTGGCAACTAGAATTTTATATTACCCAATTATAAATTGTAATTGATTTACTCAAGCGATCAAATAACTAGTTTTGGTCACATCAGGTCTTTAATGGACAAGTTTTTGACATTTAAGGGGAGGGGGGGGGGGGGGTTTAAGTCATGAATATATGTAGATAGTCTTCATAAGAAATGTTAGAAAATAATAATAAACTAGAGCCACTCGTGGCAGAAATGGGACTTTGCAAATGTAGCAATTTGCTAAAGACCCTGAAAAAATCAACCATCGACGATAAGTAAGTCAAGCGCAAGAATAAGTCTAAAGTTGATAATTTTTTTATTTTTAGAAGATTCTAATACCGGAAGTAGACGTCAGACCTCACAAATGAAAGTATCAGCAGATAGCCAAGGTCAATGACCTTTGATCTTGTAAAGGAGAAGGTCTAAAAAGGTCAAGATCAAGAGATATCCGTCATCAAAATTTCTAATTGCACACGACTATAAAACCGGAAGTTGACATAAGACAGCAAATATAAAAGTATAAATAGATAGCCAATGACAATGACGTTTAATCCTACAAAGGTCAAGGTCAACAAAGGTCAAGGTCAAAAATTGAAAATTTTGCATTTCCAAAACCTGTTCCTTTTTTTGAACTATGAAGCGGAAACAACCGAATTTTTAAGAAAAAGTGGCTCAATATAAGAGGTAATTGAATGCAAAGTTCCATTTTGAACAAATGTATACTTTGCGAGTTTGCGAGTTATGCCCCTGGCCAAAAATGTCAATAATGAGTAATTTAACCCGGACGTGCTACGCCCACTTCAATTTTTTTTTGCATAGGTTAATTGATATTCAGAATGTTACGTTATGTTCGCAATGTCAAGCTCCTACATAATACAGGTCAAAAGATATAGGTCAACAAAAGTCAACAAAGGTCAAAATCGAAAAATGAAAAAATCCAAATGTTAAAACACGTTCCTTTTTGGAACTATAAAGCTGAAACAACTAAGCTGTTAACACAAACTGGCCAAAAGGATGAGGTAATTGTGTGCAAAGTCTCTTTTTGAATAAACGCATCCTATGCGAGTTATGCCCCTGCCTCTAAATGTAAACAATTAGTAATTTAACCCGGATGTGCAACGCCCACCCCAAGTTTTTTTGTCATAAGTGAATTCATATTCAAAGTATTCAAAATATCAAGGTTCTACATAAAATAGGTCATAAGATATACATACACCAAGATCAAAAAGACACAAATATGGTAATACAAAACTCAAATTTGAAAAAATCACCAATTTCAATTTTGCTTTAAAAAAGCAATTGTTCTATATCTATGTAAAGTGCATGAAAAGCACATTAGGAAACCGAAAAAATTAACCCTCTAAATTAATTAGGTCACGTGCTAGAGCAATCCAAAGTTGCGAATTTGGCTTTTTACGGATAGCTATAAAACCGGAAGTACATGTCGGAGGTCAAAGGTCAAAGTATCAAATGATAGCCAAGGTCAATGACCTTTGACCTTATGAAGGTCAAGGTCATCAAAGGTCAAGGTCGCGTGGTGTGATCGTTAAAAGCATGAAAAAAATTCACATCAAATTTGAGCATATCAACATTTACCCTGAGGCCCCATTTTGAGTTTTACAAAAGTGTGTTTTTTCAATATGGCGGCCAAAGTATCACTTCCAGTCTGGATTTTTTTTTCTTCATTTTTTTGTAATAGCATTTACTTACGTTCATCATAAATTTCGTTGACCTATTTCAATTACACCGGAAGTTATTCGACCGGAAGTGGATTGTACTTTCCATTGATTCCCCGTTTAAAACCGGAAGTAAAGTTAAATATTTTACAAGTACATATTATTTACTTTAGTAATGCCCCTTTGCATATTAGATTTCAGATCAATCGATGCAAAAGCTAAAAAATTGCAAAAAAATTGGAAAATTTGATCGAAAAAAGTGAGCGACGAATCTTCGAATTTCGTAATTTTTCAAGTGCTATCAGGTCAGAAATTACAGGTAGATTGTAAAAATGAAAACCCGAAGAAAATCGATGCCAAAATACGCCTTCTAGAGCCGATTTTCGATTTTTTTCACATGTTGAACTGTGGCACTTCCGGGACATTTCGATAACAATAATTCCTTCACAAATTTTCCTATTTCTAGAGATGTATTTCCTATATATGACAGCGTCTCATAAATAGACTACTCGTCTTTTTAACTTTCAAAAGCAGATAATTCTGGACATACATGGACTTGAAGGCTCAAATGTCAACGGTGAGCTGTGGAAACTATTACTGATTGGCTCAGCCAAAAAAATCTCGTTTCTGTGACTTAAAAATCCTGTTTCTATGACTTAAGTATGATTGGTAAAAAAAAAAATGGCACACCTGTACATTTAAAGGCCATGGTGCGCCATTACCGAGGATTGGTTTGAGTCTTGAATATAAGTAACTAGTCTTCAGAACTTGTGAATATACTAGAAACTAGAATTTTAAATTTAATGTTTTTATTTTATGTGATATTTTAACTCGTTTTATTTGCTATTTTCAATGGCTTAAACATTTATATAATATAAACTAAGAAATAAATAGAGATATTTGAAAACCATTTTTTGATATTATTACATCAATTTATATAGAAATACAACAACTTCCTTCATTACGACAGTATACTCCCATTAATACTGTGGGTTTTAACCTAAGTGGTTGTCTAGCCAGTTCATTTAGAATATTTAGAGCTCCAACATGGAGTAAATAATGAAATATCGACAATATATCAAGGACAGGATTTGGCCCCACAAAAGTCTATCAAGTGAAGGAATCGCTGTAGTATTTTGCTTTATAGCCACCATTTTCAAATATAAAGAGAAATAACTACAATGTGAAAACAGTTCAAATGTGTAAATTTTGTTGCAATTCAGCTATAATGTTGAAACATTTTTATAGCAACTGAATGTTAGGCTTGAGTGGACGTCTCTAATCGTGTGATCCAAGACTAGTTCTTTAAGGAAAGTTAGTGTGCAACTGTTTGTGGGCGTTTAAACAGTGGATATAATTTAGTGTCAGATGTTACTCAAAGATTTACAATATAAATAGAGCTATTCACAGATAGACCACTTCATCTGCCACGCAAAAGATCAAATCAACAAATTTCAGCATGAAGATGTTCTGTCTTGTTGGGACACTGGTAGTTAGTTGTATGTTAGTTGAGGTGTTGGGAACGTGTCAAGACCAATCCGGTATGTATTTACGAATTTTCTTAATTTTTTAAGAAAGATAATACTTTAAATTACATATATTATACAGCAACAATATGACACTCAATACGAAGATGGGGCTTACGTAGATCACCCGGAGCCCAAACCAATTCTCTGTAAATCTTTGTCACGTGTCTTGTTACTTTACTGACTGTGTAGATCCATTGTTGTCGATATTTTATTAAATTTGCCAGGTATGTCCATTTTTGATTGAAGGTTAGTGCTCGTGGATTTTTTTGTATTCCCCGTATGTAAAGTAGAGACATTTGTCAAATGTCATGTGACGAAAATTCAAAGTTACACTTTTTTGTAATGGAAGTATGCATTTTTCATTGTAAAAATGTAATAATTTTGGAAGAATACCCTTTCAAACTCAGCATGGAAATTTTCTCAAAATTTCAATTCCTGATACAATGGTCAAAATCTGTAATTTATATAAATTTGAATAATTCAATTATCTATGTAGCTTTCAATTTAAGTTATCAGAAGTCAATGAATTATCGTTGTAGTAGCGTCGGAGTGTTAATTGAAACTTTTTAAAAATAAATCTGTTGAATTTTTAAATTGGGAATAAATAAAAGAATACCCAGTTCACAAACCCAGTCACAGAGTCGATGCAGGTTAACCTTTCAGAACACATGCTTTGTTTCGCTAATGCCACCCACAACGAACTTAAATCACTATGTTATAAGTAAATAAATAATGAATTTGTTGACTAATAAGGGGCACAACTCGTGCCTAATCTAATGTTTTGCTTTCAGACAATTGGAGAGAATATCAGAAAGCGTACGACATCAATGTATACAATCCTACACATCGATTCTATACAGGAAAGAACTCAGGGGCTTCGGTTGGATTGACTGGTACCTTCGTGATCAATGAGTAAGTATGACTGAAAACCATTTTTATCGAAGATATCAATATGGAAAGCCAAATGTATCAGGTTGTGTTTACTAATCAAGCATAATTTTAGAATTACACTCAAATTATCTATATTAGATAGTGAATATCAAATGTCATTAATAAACAATAAACACTACAAGTTAGTATGCGTCAATCGCTTTTGAAAAGTTCATGACTTTGACCATGACAACTTAACAGCCAATCAAATCGCTCATGACCTTCCGGAAAATTTTTGACCATGGTCAATGTCCATTTTTTTGCTTCAATTTTTAAGGAAGACGTATGAAGCACCAGCGGCAGCTACGATACTATTTCTTTTCACTAACGATACCGTACCATATTGGTTTTCATCATATTCAATGATTGTTTTTCTTCACGGTTATGGAAGTCCAATGAAGGTTTGTATAATCAATTAGTTATTAATTGAACATTGCATTATAGTTCCACATAAAATTAGACCAAACTGTCGCGCTTTTAATACAAGCTCTTATTTTTATAAGGCCGCCCTTCTTGTTTCTTCGTCAATAACCTTTGACCTAACCTGACGACCCCCGCCTTAAACACCTGAATATAATTGGGTCAAATTGTAACATCCAATAAAAAGGCGTGCTCCAACAACGTTCTGCACTTTCAGTGGACTTGATGATCTAGTCTAATGCTTCTGGGAATACATCATTTGTTGTGTTAGCGTCACACCCAGTCAGTGCGTGAAAGGGCAGAGATTTGATTGACGGCGGGTGTCATCAATTAGATGAATATTAAAAGCATAGTTTTAAGACCCTAAAGTGGCGAAATAAAAAAACGGAACGAATGTTATATCTAATTTTACTTGGTTGATTAATTGATCTCTGATAAACTCTTGCTAAGGTGGCACTTGTGAGCCCTGTATTATCATTTTAATCTGTGTCTTTTCTCTGCGACTTAGTCAATTTTTTCTGGTTATTGATTGATACACAGATAAACTTATATTACGTTCTACTTACAGATATCTCTGTTCCACCCAAATGGTACTATTAGTGTACAGTATCTTGGAAATAAATTTCAATCGTTGTGTCGAAACATAAACTGTCAACATGAAGTGAACATTGATCCAATGTCTACTCATAAGAAAGAGTTAGTTGACCCAAGTGGATGGAGCATGTTTACTGCTATCCTGGCTCCGTACCCGGCTGGTTCGTTATGATTTTGTTCACAATAAACAATTATCCCGTGGAAACTAATCCGAAAGATGACCGAGTATGAGTAAGGTCTAATTTTGGCGTAAACGCTGCATTTACAAGCATTATTACGTGATACTCCATGACCTCTTTTAGCATAAATAATTTGTCTACCTATCATAATGAGAGATACAATTTTCCTATTCGCTCAACTCTACTGAAACATTGTGTGAAGATTATATTAAATTGAAATAATTAAATAATTTCAATCATTACAGGAAAAGAAGGAACAAGGAAGGCAATATATGATTCAGAACTAAGATGTAAATTAGATGGAGTTCTCGATAATCCTTAAAACATCACAGACCAAAACTATTGAAATAAAATAAAACTGAATTTTACTTCTCATTTTCTGTTCCTTAATACAATATTGACGATCGATTGCAAAGGTCTGTCTTGAAGAGGCAGATTCGCTATTTTGTGGGTTGATTTGGGTCTTGAATATATGTAAATAGCCTTCAGAAGTACTAGAAATGTACGAAAATCGAATAATTCCTTCAAAAATGCCCCGAACTAAAAATTTCACTTTTTATTTCTATACACACGTATGTCTGATCTATATATGGCAGAGTCTCAAGAACAGACAAGTCATTTTAACTCCGAATAATTCTGGATACACAAGGTATTTTTAAGGCCAAATGTTGGTACCAGTGTGTTCTTTGTAATGGAACATCATCGCCCCACCTGGTAATTCGAACCGTTGGGATAGATTTAAATCACTTTTTGAGCTGGCACTTGCTCTGGTTGACGGAGAGAATTTGTGTGGTTCCGGGCCTGTAAAGCAAAACCACATCCCCAGAACAAAACATGAAGTTACATTTTGGTATTGAGGCAGACTAAAAGTCGTGCAGATGAGACGATAAACGAAGGACTCATATGCTTCCACATTAAGGATATTTCGACAGTCTGCAATCGAAAAAAAGTAATGAATGGATGTCCAGGTCCTACTTTTCTTACCTAATTTGGTTAATGAAGATGGGAATTCCCTGCAGTATGCAATGAAGGTCATTTTTGCCAGGACAGCGGTTTTGCAAATGGCTACATACTTGTGAAGTTTTTTCCCCATGAGTTCTAATAATAAGTCAATCTTGAAAATACTTCGTTTTATTTTGTAAGGAAAATTGAGTTCGACATTGATCATTCTGTCTTTAAGCTACATCTCAGTTTTGAATCAGATATTTTTTGTCGTGCTCCTTCTATCCCTGAAAGTGTAAAGTGTATATTATGTAATACAATGATAATACAATATTTCGACAAGTGTCTGATATTGGTTGACGAAGTACTATTCTAAACAGAGATAAGTTACCCTTACACCATAGCGATCACCCGTTTTGTATGGTTGCGAATTTGAATAGCGGTCATAAGTTTTGAACGGATAAGACATGTGATGTTTGTGCTTAGTAAAACAGTGTCGTTACTCTAAATTTGACTATTCCCTGTAACGCCGTTCTTCAATCGCAGTACCTTCCACCGAGCAACTAGTTATTTGAAATAAAATCATAACGAACCTCCGGCAAACGGAACCATGAATGACTGAAACGAACTCCATCCATTTGGATCTACTAACTCTTTCTTTTGAACAGTACCCATAGGAACTATATCTACACGTTGACAATTCAGGTTTGCACACAATGGATGGAATTTATCTCCAAGATATTTTACAGTTATAGATCTATTATCGTGTAGCGTCGACACCTGTATTTATAAGAAAGAAAGAAACAACCATATTTTACAAGGATAACAACTTAGGTTCACAGTGAAGATTCCTTTCTACCAGCTGGTCCTTGTCCAAACCTCTTGGCATTGATCCCGGATAGCCGTAACCATTTCCAGCTGGGTCGACTGGAATGATGATGACTTATTCAAGGTCATCAGACTTTCACACGCCGTACATATAGGGCTTTTATTTGGACGTAACCAAGCGACTGGGCTATAGAACCTCAAAAATATATTGAAACCATGCTTGTGGAATCCCAGAATAAAAGTTACAGAAGAGCTTCTAAGAGGAAACAACCGAGTAACATTGTAGCTGCATTGATGTAGAGAAAACCTCAAACCTAATACGGTTATCCTAATAACGAATGGAGACGATGAGATGATCATAATCAACAGTGGTAAGTTCTGCTGACTGGACCACAAGGTACCGAACTGTCTACAAAATACCGGTACCTGGGGCAAAGACGACGAGCGGCGAATTTTGTTCCTTAGTGTTTGTTCTTATGCACCATACCCAGGTGTAACTAAGCTTCAGTAAATGTCGCCAACTTTAGGGTCATGCGGACGCACGTATTTTGCATAATGCTCCATTCCTCAATTTCACGAGTTTAAATTTCGGCTCTGATTGTCTATAGTCAATTGCCTTCATCTTCAAATGAAATAAATTTTGCTAATCCTTTATTTTTAACATAAGTTAAACAAAAATGCCGATAGATCGCTTCTAGACTGGACCACCTGGGTCGGACCTGTACTGGACCACCCAGCATAAGGTGGTCTGGTCTGCATCACTAACAGTAGTATAATAATGTAAAATATAACAAACACCAAATACGTATAACATACTTTCAGTGGACTTCCATAAACGTAACTGTGGATTAATATCATTGACGATGATGTGAACCAGTATGGTCGGGTATCGTTAGTGTACAGAAATACTGCAGTAGCTGCCGCCGGTAGTTCATACGTCTCGCTTTAAACAGAGTAAAATGAGCAGAATTTTATCTTCTCAAGGAAAATGGATAAACAAATTATCTTTAGTATAACACAAAAAAACAACAATTGTTAGGTCTATAAAAAGATGCAGCTTTATGGAACAACGATCACTAGTTAAAGTTTTATGTAACGTTTCGACGTTTTTCCCCTTCGTCCTCAGTCACAGAATGATAAGCATAGCCCCTCTATAGCGATAATCAGTTGGTTCATATTTTCATACTTATTCTTAAATAAGTAACACGATTGAAAACATATTCTTTTAAAAAACAGAAAATAGTCATAAAATCCGTTTTGCCAAAACCTCGACTAATACAATCGACATGCTAACATACTGAGTAATCTATTGCGTCAAAAACATAAACTGCATTATGACATACCCGATTTGTCTTGACAAATTCCCAATACCTCGACTAATACAATCGGCACCAGTAGAATAATAAACAGAAAGCGTATCTTCAACATGTTAGCAACTGAGAGTGAGTTTGTTACTGCGATGTTGATCGTAGCAGGTGCAGATTTCTATATAATGTCCACGCACTCATGAAGCACAATTTATATCCTTAATTTCATCGATTTCATTATAATCGTAAACATCTGCCTCTATGCCAGCCTCTGACCTTTTGATCCTTAAACTTTTGGAAAGATGGATATTTTTGTATTTCATTGATTTCAATCATTTTCCTCCTACAATGAAAAATTCCAGAACGTTGTGTCCTGAAAACATTTCTAGTATTAGCTTAAGATGCCAGTAATCATGGTACATAGCTACGCTCTCATTTTGCGTTAAAGTACGTCACTAAATTCATCAAAATCAAACCTCTTAATGAAATGCAACTATGAAAATCCTCGAACCGATTTTCTAAAACCATTTTGCACATGCGGACAACTGACTGCAGCAGGAAGGATAGACGATAAAAACGGTCTTAAAGGCCATGGTTCGCCATTTCATGGAATGTGATAATGAAAATGTTTTACAAAATATGCTGAAGGCCCCTTTAAAATTGATCACTGTATAGGTTGATTAATTATTGATTCTGTTTACGCATTGTAGATTATTAATGATCCCAGAACTATGAATATAATTAGTAATAGAATAGTAATTAAATATGGATACCGAACAACATTGAAACTTCGTATTAAGTATTTCTGCTTGCCATTAACAGTTCTGCAACTTTTGACAGTTGTACCACATTCTGTAATGTAATTAACATTGATATTTTCATAATCTTAATGTACTACTGATCCTCTTCGTATAAGACATCATTAATTTTTTTTATTTTTTAATATTAATTTTCACCAGGGTGAAAATACAAGTTTTTAATTCAAAATTATGTTTTATAATTATATTCCAGTTTTTTAATTCAAAATTAAAATAAATAGATATTAGTCTTCAGAATAACATTACTCCTTCAAATATACATCAAACTGGAAATTTTTCTTTCTATATATGTCTTTTGTGAACACATAAGATTAGCTAAAATAAATTCCTGTTTCTTAGACTAATGTACGATTGGTTTAACGGATGGCGAATATATAATACTGTGGTGGCAAGCAAACTAAATATGCCCTGGTCGGTGTTTGGATTTCCAGAATATATTATTGTTGTAAATAATATTACAAGTTGCTAAAGCAAAAGAAAGCGATTTGTCTCCTATGTGACAAATTAAAATAAATCTTCTACTGAAAACGGGATCCATCATAGTTTAGTTTCGCAGGAAACCGCGAAAAAAGACAGAATTGTGATCTTCTAATTCTCTCTTACAAACCACTGATATCCTATTTTGGGTTTCGTTAACCGTTGGATTCAACTAGAACCAATCAATTATTCGAATTGAAGAGCATTAAGTTCACATTAACTTTGATGAACTGCAATTAATAAGTTAATTATCGTGTCAGCATCTAGTCAAACTTTTACTTAAAGGAATAGATTTTGGAAAAAATATATGTGTATCGGGGACACTGATAGCATCGATTTACACCTCGCCTATTCAAAAGCAAAATTTCTATATTTTAAATTAATTCATTGCCCATATTAATGAATAAATAAAACCCTTTCGTGTTGGCATATTAAGACCGTTATAATCTTCAAGTACTTTGAGATTGTATTTGTCATAAAAAATCAGAAAATAATATAAAATATGTTTATCAATATAAAAATGATTTGTAGTAAAAAAATCTGTACAGGTTCATGTTATACGAAGGAAATGATGAAGAGATTAGCTAAGACTAATGATAATGAAAACTGTAGTGAGACGCCGTGTGCCATGATCTCTGTTGTGGTAGTGTCAATGCTTATTTGCCCTCCTAACGTAAAATACACAGTTGGCGATTTCTTCCCATCGCCTCCATAATTATAACCTAACATTCTAAGTTTATACACTCGTCCTCGTTCCAGATTTGGAAGAACAGCATGTGTCACTTTCCCAACCACAATTTCTCTGGCCAATGCCATCTGTTCGCTGAGCTCCCAGTACCGTATCTGTAAGATAGATTATCATATTCTTCGATGTAAAAATAATCGGTGATAAACAATCATATTACATAATATTAACAATAGACAGGACGTTGGTTAACTCCAGTGGTGTAAGATATCCATGGATAATGAACTGACCTAGTCTTGAATGCACGAGTTGCGTCCCTTATTTCATTATCATTAATAGTATTTACAGCAAACGAGTCTGTGTCGGTAAGTCAAATAATGCATAAAAACACACGTGGGAATCTCCACGAAAAAGAAGAAATCATCTAACCTTGTATCCTAGTAATGCTTCTTCATTCATGGTCGTTGAAATTCCTCGCCACCATACGTTGATGCTGGAACTGTCTCGTGATGTGACGTTTACATACTCCGGATATAGAAGGGGAGCTGTAACAAATTACCATAACGTTACTTTCAATCTATCCTATTTTTTTCTTTCGTTAATGGTTTATTGTACGACTTTTTTTAAATATTGAGCATAATTGTGGTGTATGTTCTCGCATACATTAATTTAAGAACACGCGGTCAGTTTCTACAGGAATTCAAAGAGTAGCAATATGAGTAATGGTATACAGAATAAAGTCTATGGGCAACAGGGGCGTATCAAGTCAAAACCCGAGGAGATTTCGGACGGCTTGATATAAATTTTGAGCTTTTATAGGACTTAATTTCTAAAGAAGGCCCTCCCCCTAAATACGCTACTGTATTGGCAAATTTCTACCCATTTAGACTTTAACATTACACTATATATAGGTAATATAATAAATCAAGACGTACGATAAGCCCATGTAGAGACTCTCCAATCCTCACTTTTAGGACCAAGACCAGCTGCATTATAAACCTGTACATTCACCCAGTAGTCTGAATTCTCTGTCACACCAATAACTCGACCAGATTCCGCTTGGCCAAGATGTCGGACAAACAGCGCATCTTGGTAGGTAAGGCCTTCCATCCAATAATTTATCTGATCAAAATGGTATAAAAGCATAAATATATCAAATGAACGAGAATAACGACTAAATGTATTTGGATCCTGTTGTAGGTGACTGAGTAGGTCTTGGGCTACGAGACATAATGATATTCTCGTAATCTCAATGGTCATTGATAGTAATATTGTTTACTATAACGCATTTATAAATGAAGACGTCTTAACTCTGTCAATATGAAAGATGAACAATCTGGAACCAATGGATAGTAGGCAATAAGTATAGTGTATAATTTTAACTCACTTGGTAGCCTTTCACACGGCCTTTCATATGAGCTCTGTCATCCGGAATGGGCTGCCAAAATACATCAAAAGCTGTGGCATTTATTTCCGAGGCTGTAACATCAGAAGGAGTTGCAACAGGCACTGAAATAAAACAATAAGTTATAAAGAAAGACTCTCTATTACAAGCAAAAAGCTTTCATAGAAACTGGAGAGCTCCATTTCCAAAAATATTTGGGAAAAATGGCAATGGAACTCCAACGAATATTTATTACGAAACGAAACCTTTGCTTTTTGGGTGTCAGCTCGGACAAAAATCCAAATTACTGTGTAGCCATATTCTGGATACGCAGTCGTACTTTGTACTAAGAAAAGACCCAAAGATGTTGCAATTTTAGACAACGGGTCTTCAAGAGAAAATGTTGGAAAAGAAAAGTAAGAACCAAGTACTCACTGTCCGGTGCAGAATATATTACAGAAATAGTAGAATTGGGACCGGCTCCCAGAGAATTCAGCACTTGAACTTTGACCTCATATTCTCTATAGTAATTTTCATATTCAACAATATGAATAAATCTATCTTTGTCACCACCCACCATACTCTAAAATGTGAATAATTGGACAATCAAGTGGCTTCAGGCATAAATATGCGTTATCCGATTCGATCGCAGTATAAATTTCTAAACTCGGAAAAGGTATAGTGTGGATGAGATGGCAAGCTGTCTTTGGAACTCGAGGCGTGTTGACATCACTATACGAGAAAATTTATGTTTCATAATGATATTTGTCTGTACCAATCAATATGTGGGGTTGCGAGATTGGGGCACTTTGACAGGCAATTGGCAAATTGAAAACAATTTTATATTTAAATGTGTATATGAACACCGTTGATAACCTACCGAACCGAGCCAGCTCCCAAAGTTGTTCTCCTTCTTCCTCCAAAAAACCTTGTAATAGAATCCTGGACCAGCACGGTAAGCTTCGTGCATCGGCTGAAATAAAGTTAATATTCTGTTGTCGCACATGATGCAAACAATCAAGGATCTTTTACGGTTCGAATTGGACTCTTCAAATGGTCCTTTGTCAAAATATCACTTCCTTGTAATTCAAGACTGTCTGGTTCCAAGCTCAAAATCTTAGAAAAGCTTACAGTCATGTGTTCATAGTGGAAACCTACTAACAATCCTATGCACTAAAAAAATAGTTTAATTCGAAAAAATGCAATAGCATGTGTTTGAGACAGCTGAGTATGATCTATATAGAAATAATTCCTTCCGACAGTTGACCTATACAGATAAACTTTCTGATAAATTACGATATGATCTCTGTACTCCATAAGATCTGTGGACACTGAAAATCTCAACTTTAACTTACTTCCCAAACTATTCTCAATTCTCCCACGCTACCTCCACCACCTGTTATATCTTCTAATGGTGTCACTGGAGGGGCATCGGTGATCCCGTAGAAAACTACGAATATATATAATTGTGGTGAACCATTTATATGGTTTTCAGATTTGAAATTAATATGTTGAGAAGGGCATCTTAGAAATCTAAGATATTTTTTTTTTAAACTTGGCATGTATTCAAAACTAAAGATTTTTTTAAATCACGATGAAGTTTTATGGATTTATCGGATTGTAGGGATTAGGGATTCCGTTGCCTAAATATTAGACGGGATAAGTTCTCTGGTGAATATAGAATACTCTTCTCGGCCATGTTTGATAATTTATATTTTATGTTCATTCTAAAAGGTAGAAAACCTTTAATATGTTTTCATGATATGATTGAACAAATATCAGCTTGTAGAGTAAATGAAGATACTCCCGTGCGTTCATTTACAAAATTTTTATCAGTGGAAATACTTACTCGAAGGTAAACTTGGCCCTCCATAACCATATTCATTGTAAGCAGCAACTCTAAAACTATATCTAATACCGGGTGTAAGGTTTTCAAGGTGGTAGCCCTTTTTAGCCGAATCATCGGGCAACTCTACTTGGGTCACATCGATATCTGCAAGGAACCGTTATGGGTATATTTATGATGATTCATGGCCAGGATAAGCAGATACGGTAATAAAGCATATACAAATATTAACAGGTGGTTCTGGACAAAAATATTCATTAAAATATCCAAAATAAATATGCACAAAGTAAAGCACTGCTGTTTCAGATTTCCATATTTGTTTTGATAGCAATTTTACATCTACCTCCGCCGACTAAGGAAATGACATACACGTTCACCAGCTCAAAAGTTTAAGGGATTTAAGTTTTGGTTTAAAAAACAACACCTTTGTTATGACCCGTATATTATCCTGGAAATATATGCAGGTCTATTAGCTTTGTGTAAATTCCACACAAACGGGACCTGGCTTTTCCAGTCAACCTCTGTCAGTGAAATCTTTTAAGAAGAATCTTTTATGGATTAGTCATCAAGCTGAATTACTTACTGTTTTTCCATGTCTCCCATTTCTTGTCCAAATGATTCATAATTTCTATCCTATACATGAGTATTGAACCACCATGTGTTAATCCAGGAGACCAGCGAATATCTAGATCTCTACCATGAATGTTGTTAGCAAACACACCACCTGGTTCTCCGGGTGGACCTGGAAGGCAGCAAAGGATTGAAGATGAATGGGGTGTCTACTGGGCTTTTCAGCATATTTGGGGGTATTTCGGTTAGCAAATTATGTGTGAAAGAAATGAAGCTAAGACAACAATATTGTGATCTGAATTTATGTGTTTTTAAGGACGTGTATTGTAGAGATCCAAAGGCCAAAGCGTTAATCATGAAGTATCAAGTACCTATATGCACTTACCATAGACCGTCAGAAAGGCGCTGCCAGAATCCAAATCTTGTGGAGTTTGGGCAATGCATTTATAGTCTCCTTGGTGTATATACTGGGCATTTCTAATATATAAACCATGTATTCCATCTCGAGTACCCTACAGAAAAACAATAGCAATAATTGTTTTCAGCAACTAGGACACTCAGTCGGGTTTACCATAGATATTTTCATGATCAATGCACCGATACTATGTATGCCCTATTTTAACATTGCTGTCATACAATATTTAAATTTCTATACACCTTAGACACCTATCAGGTTGGTTAAAAAACTACAACAGAAATATTTTGGATTGGAATACGTAAAAATTTGTTATATGAGTAACCGACATGTATTTATTGAAAATATTAAATTTGCTAACTTCTTAGCCTTTGGATAGTTGACGATTGACTTTATTTAATCTATTACTTACCAGCGCATAATGTGGTTCCATTTCGAAATCAATCTGTCTATCATAGAAGAACCAAATGTAGACCAGATCATGCTTTTTAGAATCATAGGAAGCTTGGCAGAACAGGAAGGCTGTATTATTCACTAATATTCTTGAATTATCTGGTGGATTCACCAGTTTTGTTTCGCCTGGAAATACATCAATTATTGCTTTCACTTTGGTTTCGGAATTACGCTATGATATGAAAGTTTACTTTCTTTGGTGGACTGTAGAAATTAGGCATGTGAGAATTTTGCAAAGGCATGAGCAATATCAATGTACCAAAACAAGTATACGCACTCCCTTGTGGTCATTACATCAACATTACACATATGGGGCCAGAACTATTTTCTGTTCTCATGTGAAAGTAGCTCGCTGAGCCTATTTCGTTGTGCTCACGCACACTCGTGAGATCACTATAGGAAGCCCATAAACGCATTATTTCTGTTTATCGCCAATGATATGCCAGTTTCTACTTAATATCATTGTACTTACTAGTAATATAAATAGTTGCTGATGATGTGTCACTTCCGAGATCATTGGTTGCTGTACAGGTATATTCGCCAGAATCAGATTGACTTAATTGGGTGATAATTAGATTACCATTTGGCATAAAGATATGTTTACCGTTGCTGGAACCTACTGATAGACCCATTTCACTACCATCTTTCTGCCACGTAATTGTTGGAAACGGTGCACCTTCCGGTGAACAGATCAGTGTGATGTTACCGCCTTCAGTAGCTACTGTTGATTTGACCGGATGTTTCGAAAAAGACGGCGGGAAGCCTGAAAATCGTACATCATAAGACTTTTAATGCGGGTTTAATCCAAAATATATTGTTTACTCAATGCCTATAATACTAATATGCCTATAATTCACCTAATAACACTTACTTAGTATTCTGAGTTGAGCGCTGCTGAAAATTACACCATGAGTATTTTCAGCTCGGCATTGGTACATTCCTTCATGTTGTTTATCCACGGACTCTATCGTCAGTACATTTCCCTTTACCTCATAATCTCCGGGCACTGCTGTGAGTATTTTGGTGTCCTTGTACCACGTGTATGTCGCTCTGGGTACAGCTATTGTAAGACATTTCCACGAGATTTTCACTCCCTTGTCCAGATGTTGGTTCTTCAGTGGGAACATGAAGTAAGGTTTGGCTGTAACAAGATTATAAGAACATTGTCTCCGGTGTATTATTGTAGTTTCATTTGGACTTTGGACAAAGGACATGTTGGTACATATCAAAGGACATGTTGGTACATATCAAAGGACATGTTGGTACATATCAAAGGTCATGTTGGTACATATCAAACGACATGTTGGTACATATCAAAGGACATGTTGATACATATCAAAGGAAATTTTGGTACAAGTAATATTTTTCGGTTTCACAAAACATTGAAAACAGATAAGAGATAATAATGTGTAAAGTCTACATATGGTCATTTAACAAAAAAAAGATACAACTAAACGCTACATCGCGCCACCAGAATGCGAAAATACCAAAGTCCACATTTGGTCATTTAACACAAACGTCGCAACTGATATGGATAAATGATAATGGAATCTCACAATGAATGAGTGTCCAACGGACCTTCAACAGAAAGGAGTATGGTTTTCTTAGCTGTATTACTCTTTCCTCGTCTTACATGGCAAGTATATGTTCCACTGTCCTCTAACTTTGCGTTGTGAATAATCATTATACGCATACTGTCGTCAAACGTCACATTCGATGGTAGTCCATAATCTTCTCGTTCCCATCTATAGTACATCGGTAACCTATAGGTAGACGGTGAATAATGATTGAACCACTGTGCAGCTGCTTTGAGTTAATAACAAGATCATTGAGAAATTAAAAAGGCTATCCGTTGCAAATAAACAAATTAAACCAAGATATGATCATACCTCTTAATCTAATACCAAAATCCTTTTAACGATGTTAATGTATGGCAGCCAACAGCAAGGTTACTTAGTAACAAAAGGTAACAGTATCTGGCTTTGTGATTTGAGAAGGTATGCGTGAGTGACTGGGCTGCGCTCCGTAGAAAACAACGAAACTGAGCTGAACGTTGTTTTTTGTGGGCGTAAGTATTTGGAATGCTGTTATTATATCATATATTATGAAGTCAATTAGTTTTAGGTTGGAAATGTGACCTACTTTCCGTAAGCGAAACATTCAAGTCTGACATTTTGTCCTTTTTGGGGTTGAGATGGAAACACTGCAGGGAAATCGTTGTGGATTAATGGTCCATAGTTATTGGCATCTGGAAAACAAAAAATTTCGGTTTATTAGACATACTTGTCGAACTAACATTTTTATTTCACAAAAATGTTTCCAAGACGCCTATAATTGAGAATAAGAGTACATTGTCGCATCATATTTAGCCTTGAATGGGGAAAATAAAACAAGAATAGATCTTTATACACTATATCATATGAGTTTCAGCCGACAATTCTTACTCTGTTCGGAAAACCTGATGGTACCTCTGACCTGATGACTTCACTACTATACAGCATTTGAAATTTGATTAACAGAGTTATCTTGCTTATTTTTTATCATTTATATTTAAGATATTCATACAAGTCGGTTAAAGAATAAAACCAAAGCCGTTATTCAACAAGATTAGTAACTGAAACCTCATGGACTGGAACACACAATTCTCTTCCGTACTAAACAAATAGCTTACTTTCTGTCACTACTTCCAAACCAATACCAAGACTGGCTCTGGTGGGTGGCTGAACCGTTGCCATGGTGACATCATTCGATGTCGTCAAGGTAACTACACAGTGATATTGAGCAGCGTCACTTGGTTGTAATTCAGAGAAATACAGGTGTCCATTTTGTGATATAAACATATGTGGATTTAATCTTGGACGAACGAAATGGCGAATGTCGTCCTGATACCATTGGAAATTTACCGCTGAAAAAAAAGAAGTCCGATAAAACAAACTTAGCTGAAATGCGAGATTTTCTAGTGAGCAGCTACGATTATCTCTATAAACCTCAACATACAGATAGAAAGACATGGTAGAATCTGGTTTTGATTATGAGTAGAGGAAGAGGATATCATTTCGTATATATACTAGTTTACTCTTGCCTCCTCCTCTGTGTTGTGTCTCACCCAATCTGCAATTTCCTTCTGTAACAGATTTGATAGTATCTGCAATTTAACACACATTGAGCAAAAAGAACTCAACAAATATGGAATTGTTCTTATGTAGCGGTTATTTAATTACTTAAATTACAAATACAGCAGTACCTGGATTGTATTTTGGTGTATTGCAGCTAATAAATGTCCCTTGATATAGGTAGCCTCTCACAGCTCCTTGTGCATCGTTAGAAAACTCTCTCAAATCTGAAAAATATATAATATATCAAAATTAATATACAGTGGTGTAACCTATTTTCGTGGATATAAGGATTCAACACCGAATTTCGTAAAAGTTAAAAAACGAAAATTTTTTTATGTCTTAGATGTTTTCTCAGATATTCTATAAAATAATTAAAATTGGTTTGTTTAGATTTTCTTTTTTTAGATGAATCCTTCCTTTGACCCATATTTCATGAGTAACCAACTTGACAACGGCGGCAGAATGCGTTACCTATTTTCGTGTACACTGTTTGATCTATAAATAAGTCGAGAAAAACACGTGGTGGTATAATTAACCTTTCTTAGTATTTATCTTTAATATCAATTGAATTATAACTTCAAAGAACCACGATTTTAAAATGAAATAGTGACTGACAAAATAAGATACGTAGCGTGATTTATTGCTAAAAGTCACTGAAAGAACATAAGAATATGGTCCACTTTGTGTTCCATAGAAATTTTCTGCTGATAAGGAATCCACTAGTTGACCACGTGACTTCATTCGCTGGACTACATTCTAGCAGACGACACTTGGAATTTCGATTACCGATTGGGATTATAAGGAAATTCGGCCAATAAAAAATGGTAACGTTTGGTAATAACTGAAATCCGCCATTTTGTATTTGTCAAAGTACAGTAATACATTTTACCTTGCTTGAAACTACTGGATTCATTCTACTACCTGATATTGTAGAGAAAACCCATGTTTATCAAAACAAACTAATGCGGAGGTCGGGCAAGTTCGCTTATGTAAATTATTAATCCTTCCAGGAAATCCACGAATAATAGGTTGCCACGAAATTAGGTTACTTGACTGTATATAATAATTTGAAAATTTCAGTAAAAAAAACGAAAAGAAAAAATTTACACGGAACTTACATCCACCAACAATGTCCACAGGACTGCTCAAAATCGACCCGAATTTATTTTCAGCCACGCATTGGTAACTTCCTGGATCTTTGTCTAGGTCTGGGTTGGATATTGTCAATCGGCCATTTGTCATAGTGTAGCGGTCATCAGCCTGGTAGACGATCTCCTTCTGTTTAGCAGTACCATAGCCCTTATACCAGTGGTATACAGGCTGGGGCAAGCCAACCGCTGAACACTCCAGAAACACTTGTTCTGATTCTTTTATCATCATCACTGATTGTGGTTCTTTGATAAATCGTGGACCCTTCTCTATTTTCCCCAAATCTTGAGTTTTGGATCCATATGCTGAAAAAGATAAACATTATAGTGGTGAAACGATATCTGTAAGTAATTGTTGCATCGATATACATGTATATGTTTTATGTATGTTTAAAGTTATGTGTATATATGATTTATGTGATTCTACATGAGACATTCACTAATTTGGATATAACCAGTTATTCGCTTTACAAATATACATTGTAACGGTGACTCCTGTAAAATAAAACAGTTCAGTAATAATTCAATATCCAAAATTTAAGGAAGGTGTTATGAACAAGGACCAGATCAAATAAATTTTAGATTGAATGAAAGGATCAAAACTATGATTAAGTTTGAACTATTGGAGAACTTACTGTAATCTCTTTTAGCTTCGTTGATTCGGAAAGACTCAGCTATGCTTATCTCGCATATGTATGGTAGGCTGCGCATCTTAGCACTCCAACCCCATAAATATTCCTCGTGTGTTACTGGAATAATGAAACAATCAAACAAAGTGGGAAGGCAGAAATCATAAAACAGCACTTTAAAAAGAAGCGAACAACATGTTATTAAGAAATATGAAAATTATGGTTCTCTGGGATCCTGTCGACCGTCTGGTCCTCTTATAAATCCTTCTCAGATTATGCATTCAGTTGTGTCCACTAGAATTCTGAATTCGGATAACAATCATGACATTATTTAATTTAGCATGATACTACTGGATCGTCAACTTTGCAACAGGGACGTCAAGTAGTAGTTTCGATCACATTTCATATTATATCATAACTTAATAATAAAACCTGTCCACTTACAATCAAATGTGTAAATGATGTGGGTTTGTACTGGTTTTCTATCAACGTCTGCATCGGTTTTCCAATGATCTTCTATAACAGTCGTACCATCTCCTTCCCATTTCAACTCTCCACCGACATCCAATCCACTCGTGAACCAATTTAAATTTCTATACAAGGAACAAAACTCACTAGAATAATACAGCCTACTGGCAAGACTTCGTTGGGATCTTTGATGGTGCAGAGAACTGAATGTTCACTTTTAATATTGCCTGATATTGTCAAATTCGTTTGGTTTACCTTTCGAATACGGTTCTTTGATTTCGTATAATTTTTGTACGTATTACAGTTTGTGATACAATGCTTATTTTCAAGTAAGCCAATTACCAAACTCACTGATGAATGTGTAAGGTAAAACCGCAACTGTAATTATACAATGTATAATAATAATTAAGAAATTTACTGAAATAGAAAATGTCTAAAGCTGTTGATTTGAATGTAGAAAAAGTTTACCTATTCACAACGTTATTCTTTAACCACGTGGCTATGAATACATGTTCCACGTTATCATTTACACTCAACAGCGTGGCTCCGTCAGCCTAAAAACAAGTTAAATGGCATTTTTGACAGTCGGTTATAGGAAATGGTTATAGCATAATTAATTTGTATGGTAAATGTCATAGTTAGCTGACAAAAGTCCCCGGGACTGGGGTTTTTGCATTAGTCGTGACTTTTGATATGATGTCTTGCATATAATTGTTACATTTAACCAACATGCAAACAGCAAAGAACAGTTTACATCATTGATTTAGAGGTAAATAAACTGTTTGTGATTGGGGTTGAGGTGTGTGTGAGATTTGTGGTCACCTAATGAAGAAAATCATAGATCCAGGAGACTATCATTCTCTTATGTTGGTGAATTATTTAATTCAGGCAATTTACTACATAGAAATAACGAGTACCTGACAAGCTCCAGTGGATTCAAGGTAACCATGTGTTGGATAAAAATTAAACTTATAACAAGTCTGGTCATTCTGTACCCAATCCAATGGACAATCTATTTAAACAGTACAAAAGAAGAAGTGCTGTATTATCTACATGAAATAATAAAACGAACATGATTCAGTGGGACCTTGCTCCAATATTCTTGCAAAAAAAAACACATTTTAGTAACGATGCAAATAATTCTCAATAATTGTTTTCGCAAACCAGTTATGATTATATCATTACACAGTCATTTACTGCTCTATTGTAGCAATGTAACGTTTCGACGATTTTACTCTCTTCTTTTTGAAGTACCATTGTCGAAACGCCGTACTGTTACAATAAAGCAGTAAATGCTAACTATAAGATTTGTTTTGTTATTAAGTCAATTAAAAGAAGAACAAATGAGAATGCTAAATCAACAAACATTCCTTACCGAACTGTGACCAAGTCAGG